TGTGGAAGCCCCAGAAGTGCCTTAATGTATAAGCTGTAGGTTGTGAAAAATCAGGTCTGTGACATCCAGGCTTGCCTTGCTCCTGCAGACTAGATTAAAGGTCCTAGGCTAGGGAGGAAGTTCCCTTTCATGGGGGAGGCAGAGATTTCTTCCCTTTTTGCCTTTGTCTCATGTAGAATGTATAAAGCAATGTGAAGTCTCTGAAAGGCTTTGAGATGTTCCTCTGAAAGAAGCTACAGAACAGTACTGCTACTAAATGTGTCTGAAAAAGGAGGAAAAAAACAGAATGATAATATTGTACTTTTTCTACTATTATTTATTGAAAACTCCAGAACACTTTGACAAAGCCAACTATAGCTGATAGTATTTGCTTGTCTCCACACATATGTGTGTGTCCATATGTACACATTCAACACACACACAGCAAATGTTTGAGACAAAACACTGGTTTATTTTTCTGCACATGTTCATATTAATAGTCGAGTGCTGTGTATCACAGCATCTTGAACTGCTCTCTTTTCCTCCTCCCCTCTGCGTGCTGCCTGCCCAAGCATGCTATTAGGTTTGGAAAGAACAGCATACACACTGTCACAGATGTATCCTTTGTAAAAGGTGTACCTGCAGTTTGGCAGAAAGGGCTGACAGCTGGCTGCTTGTAGGGAAGGGGAACTTGTTAAGGCAACAGGACAATCTTCAGGTAGCCTAGAGAAGGCGCAGCATCATCTTAATTATGCTGAAGTGAAACCTGGTTTTATCAAACTATAAATAATGAATGAGCCATTGGTCTTCAACTGCTGCATGGTATTTCTGGAAAGGTTAGTCTCCTTTGGAGAGGGGAGGGGAAGGCACGCATAGGTGTTCAGACCCAGTTCAGACTTTGTAAGTCTCATACTTCTAGAGAAGCTCTCATTTTCAGCAGCACAAACGTAAGCGACATTTCCACCAAATGTTTTTGAAAACCCTAATAAAGATTTCTTTTTACTGTCAAGGCACATGCTTATTACTGAGATAAGAAAAAAACCAAAGCAACCCTCACTGGGAGCCTGTTTCTGAAAGGTGCTGCTGTGGTACTTTATCTGTGCTGCAGCTAACCTCTTGTCAGCAGTAACTCTCGGTCCAGCTTTTCAGTAGTAAATCTTATGCTGATAATACAGGGTGCCTCATAAATAACTGTGCCAGCAAGACAGACACTGGGGAGGGAACCTGCTTTCCACTTGTCTTCCACCTTGTTGCCCCAGATAATGGATTTAGAAACTACAGTAAATAGCCAGACACAGTAATCTAGTACAGTTCTTTCCCCTTCCTCCACTCCCCTTTCTTGGAAGGACATGCTCCTTTTCTCTGAGCTTTTCCTCTGCTACCTGTGGGTGTGCATTAGGATGTAGGCACTGAAGCAGATTCTTGGATCTGGTTACAAAACTAATGCAACGAGTTGCAAAAACCCAGGGCATCAATAAGTGAAACTCCCAACTCCACTTCTGCTGCACTTTATTCCATTTTACATCAACTTCTGCATCAGCACAGATTAGACATGGTGGCCAGGGTTTGATGGTTCCTGAATTATGCACGTGTGTAGTCATTCATAGGCTTCAAGACACCCCATCTATTCCTGCTGCACCGAGACACATAACACTGCAGGTTAACTACCATGGCTGTGCTGCACTACCACACTGCTCAGACCTATTCCATTCCCGATAACTGTCAGCCACTCATTTTCACACTCTCTTACTTCCTCAACAACTTCCGTTGAACCATTTACAGTTAGATTTGCAAACACTCCCTTTTTAGGTTTCATTCTGACCCACACTCGAAGTAGTTTCCATGCAATTTATTTTCATTGTCCCTACAGAAATTTAAACCTTGTCTCACAAAAATCTGCAACTCCCTACTTGTTAAAAGCATGCTATTTACAGGCCATGTAATACTGTTGACAAAGGAAGTTCCATCATGATAGTCACATTTCCTTTCCCGGTCACAAAAAGCACCTGATCTGACCTGCCCTCTCTGATGATGCCAAGATCAGTAAGTGATGGAAAGCCAGAACACTCTCTACCTTGGACAGAATGAGGTTTATAGCCTGGTTCCATCTGCAACAGCATGAAAAAGTGTTCCCTTGTGTACAACACAAACTTCCCACCCTCCACCCCATCAGAATCATACTCCGCACCACAAAGAAGTCAGACCTTTTTCACTGCTTGCTGATAAGAGCTTCAGTATATTCCACCTGGCTATGAAAGCAAGTGACAGTCATTGCCAGAGTGGTGGGTTTCTTCATCACATTTTTCATTTTTCCTACACCAGCCTCAACTATTCACAAGATGCCAAAAAAAGTGTGTCAACACAGTAACTAACCCAAAGTTAACTGTCTTACTTTCTAATAAAATTAAATAAATGAATTTTTCTCTAGGTACGGTGGAGATGGATTTTCTCTCTCAGCCTGCAGCCATGCATGAGATGTGTCTTCCTCTGGAAGCTGGTTTCACATGGTGGCTTAGATTTTCCCACTTTGTATCTAGCACCATTTGAAATCAGTGTTCTAGGAGCAAGAATTACAGCGTGGGAGGAGATCAAGCAGCTGCTAACTTCACCAACAGCCTCTACTCCTTAAAACAGCACTTTTTCCAATGGTTATGTTTTGCCAGCCATCCACTTTGTAACATCATCTGATTTCTAGACACTTATACAACCACTGTATACACCTTCTCGAGCTAGGGCCACAACAGGAACAGCTTCCTTCAAGTGTATTTCTACTTAATAAACAATGGATATTGAGTTAAAGTTGTCCAGAGTAAAGTGATCCAAAAGTTGCATGAAAACCAACGTAGTACTTCTTGCATCTTGACAGGCAGAGTACGTTTCCTTTATTATACAAACAAGCGTTTAATTTACTAACTTAGAGCAAATGTATTTCCACTCTGTGCTTGGGGACTCTATCACCATAGAATTATCATTCCGTAGCTACCAAAGACTTGCTCTGCAAACACAGAGATTCCCTCCAATAATTTGATCTCAGCAGTTAAACACAAAAGTGCCTTCAGCAATCATGATGATGTCACACTGGTACACACAGAATTCACTCCTTTTTCTAGAATTATTTTAAGTTTATTGCTGGTAACTTCTAGTAATGTTTCAGTAGACTTCTATACCCTTGCATCCAAACCACCAAAAATTAAGCTAAGCTATTTTTGCTTGACCTCACTATTGTCAAACATTGTTATACACAGAAAAGGCGATCGCTGTATGGATGAAGCATTTGATCAGACCACTGAATAGTCATCTTTAAAGACTGCATAGCTGTCATCTGCAAGAGGATTCTTCTCTGAGCCAGGAAAATGTCTCTTACACAGGCTGACCGATTTCTCTTGGTGTTCAGAGTCTCAGTTTTTGTCTAGCACCATTTGAAATCGGTTATGATGTAGGGGGTAAAGCAACAGTAATGGAAAACTTCATTCCCCCGCCCCCCAAAGTCTTTATAAGCAAACACCATCAAAAGCACAATCTTGCTTCACAAACACGTATGGTATGCTTTTCTGTTCTCTGACCTGAAGTTACACCTACAGGCCGAACATCCTGCACAAAAGGAGGACAGTCAGCATCACGTTCAACTAGGAGGGATGCTTAAAGAGAAAGCGAAGCACCTGTTCAAAACCGTAACTAAGATTCTTCAACTCAAGCAAGCCAGGGCCCATGTGTGAGAGCACAGCCACCTAACCTTCTGACCAGTTATATTCCATGTGCTATTTGTTTGCTTTAACCTGTTATTTACTCAGATTTTTTTTTTCTTGTAAATAAAATTGTGTGCTACTTGGTATTGGGCTCTGTCTCACATAGACAGATTACTTGTTTCCCTGCTGGAAAATATCTAATTGCTGCAAGTCTCTTCATTTCAGTCCCCAGCTCCTTTTTCACCACTCTGTATGAACTATGCTCGGAAGCGAGCATTTACAGATTTTAAGTTTAACACTGAGAAGCCTACCAACCACTGACACTTCACACTACTTAACATTAAGCTAGGTAATGCTGTACCTATGTTTTATTACTCCCACTGCGAGAACATCACTTGTTTTACCAGTAGATGGCAACAACACGTTTATTACACACAGCCTTTTTCTTAGCACAAAGTTCATGTGTTCATGACTCTTAATTATCAGTTCCAGATTCTAAGATGAAATAATTAATGTAGGACTCACTTTTAGAAAAATGGTGCAGAATTCATGACAATTAGGACAAATTAACTTGTAGTGTTTAAGTCAAATTGCCTAGTAGCTGCCTATCCCATCAATGCTCACTGCAGTCCTAGAACTTCATGCATTTGTGAAGCTGTAGTCTACAACCTCTCATCATTTGCAGTCCACACCAACTGATTTTGAGTATCACAACCACAAACTAAAAAAAAAAATACAGCATATTAGTTATTTTTCTATTCCACCCTCTGAAAGGCATTATTCTATGAGGCAGCCAACTCAAACTTTCTTTGCAAAGAAATGTGTGGAGTACATTATGAGTGTGAACCTCATACAGTTAAAAATAATCACATTCTGCTTAACATGTTCCTTAAAAACGCCTAAGCTATATTCCCTAAGGATGACATCTGTCACACACTGGACAAAAGTGCCAGAACACTCTCTGGGCTTTGCTCTTGAGTTAGTGTTACATCAGAACAGCCACATGATAATCTGCCTCTTCTCCAAGTTTTTACCAACTTTTTCAGGAGTGAACACTGTAAGGTTTTGGACGTTCTGGGAAATTCTCTGCAATTCCAAAAGAAAACCAAAAGGCTGCTCAGCAAATTAACGCATATTCTCTACACTACCATTACGTAATTCTGTGCACAAACTGCAAACTTCAATCTCAGCAGTTACCACCTAATGCAAGTTTGGTACATGAAAAATCATCTTAAGAATAACGGAAAAATAGCTGCTTACCACATGACGAATGAAAGACAAACACTTACTGCTAAATAATTTAACATTTTTATTTGTAATATTACAAGTCATCACTAGTCTTTACATCCAGAAAAAAGTGTAAAAGGCCATTTTTTACAGTTATTTCACTTCAGCTTTAAGTGCATTTCAGCGTATTTTAAAACATTGGAGATGCCATACATAATCAAGCTAGCTAGTGACCAACACACTCAATTCCCAGTATATTATCATAGTGTTTACAAACAATTATCAAACTAGGTATCAGCTAGGCAATGAACAGCATGTCATTCTGTGTAGCCAAAACCCCTTTTTAATAACCAGACTATCATGAACTCTGACGATACAACTGCTGGGATTGTCCCAAAAAGCCCTATAAAGCCCTAAATAGTCCTACGTTATTCAATCTGTTCACTACAGTGGAGAGCCGTGCGAATCTACCACAGACAAGCATGAATAGTTTAAATGCTGCCTCAGCCATTTGAAGAGAGGCAATTTGGTTTTTCTGGGAAAATTGGTTCTTATAAGCTGCCTGTATGTTGACAGCAAACTCAGAGATTCACAAAGCCAAAGCCTGTCCTAATTACGCTTTTGGTTTTAATAAGTAATTAGAAGTAGCAAGTATGCATTTAAAGCCACAGCTATCAATGCACATCTGAGTCTCAATTCATGACAAACGCTGTGATGGGAGCTCCTGGAGTCACAGTCTTGACCAAAACACTTCATGAAGCAAGCAGCTGCCTAAACAGAGACCACATCTACCACCACTGCCCACATAGCTATTCCTTCGCTCCCGCAACTAAGCTGGTTTGGTCTTCCTTTAACATGAAAAGAGAAGGGAGCCTGACAGGGAAAGGCTTCTGCTTCTCAACAGATATCCAATGCTAAATCTAGCACTACAGAGATAGCTTTAGCATCGTAGTCTGTATACAGAGATTTGAAATGCTGTATATGGAATATATGATTTCAAGTAAAAAGAACAAGGAAGCTAGATCCACACAGTGCCATTTCTATCCTGAAAAGCAACAAAATTCTCTCCGAAACTGACATCAAGGCTCAATAAAAATCAAGCATGCTACGGAACTTACACTGTGCTCCTGATAGGAGATGGCTACCACTGATTTCTCAGCAGTTCCTTTAATTAGGTGCCTTCCGTCAATAGACCAACAACTTCAAAGCCGGGGATACCTTTGCTATAGAAACCTTCAGTTTTCCATTCCAACAAATCCACTGTAGTCCTTCTGGGACTATATCAAAGAGTCAGAAATATATATGGCTTTTTTCCTTCTTAAAGGCAATGGAAAATCTATAAAACTCTGATTTAAAGGCACATTTTAATTCGTTAGATATACAGAAACCAACTTTGGCAAACAAAGAGGTGGTATATATAAGATCTAAACTGTGATAGTTTCAAAAAGACATAGCCTTAAATGGCACCAATCTCTTAAGGAAACTAATAATAAAACATTTCATAATACAAGAGACAACATAATCATTTATACCGCCTCAACCACAAAAATGAACGAGAAGCACATTCAGATTTTAGTGAGCAGAACTAGTATTGGATAGTCTTCTGTAAGAAAAGAGGTAGCACTGAAGGCAGCAGGCGGCAGCAGCTGGTACTATGACAGTGATACGTCCAGTACTCCCGCCGACACAGACAATCTTGCATGCTACAGGTATGTGCCTTTAAAACCATTTCACATACACAGAAAAGACAGTCTGAGTGGCCCATAAGGAAAAGCAGATATATACACATATATATTCTTTTTACCCTATTAATGATCTCCCACTACAGTCAATCAGTAGTATAGCACATAGTACAAAATATTAATCTACAGAAACTCAATCCAAGTGCAATAATTTTCCATTTCTAATAGGTATATTCAACTGCAAATTCCCTCCCACCCCAAAAAATGGTAATTCATGCTTTACAGATCTTATATTCGGCAGTACATGGAGTGCTGTCACGTTTCCTACAAACAAAAAAACAAGTCAAATCAGAGATTTTACATTTAAATAGTTTTTACATTTATTCTGAAAGCACATCCTTAGTTTTATCATTAAATCAACAGGTAAAGTCATTAAGCTAAATAATTATGTCCTCTTCTTACTAAGCAACTGCTAGACTGAGGAGATTTTTGCTTCATTTCATCCACTAGACTCTTAAGAATGACCCACAGTGTAGAAGACCATTTGATCCAAAGGGGTCATTTCAAGTGATGAACAGACCACACCTGAGCATTATCAAAAACTGAAACCAGACATAACAGTTACAGGATTCCTAACTATACGAAGACTACATTAGGAGCATCCCTTATAATGTATTTTAAATACAGTATGTTGTTTAATATATATTTTATAACCAGAAGCTGAATATTACTTTGTGAGAATTTTCATTTTGTAGTCAACTAACAGCAAGTTTACAATACTTGAACACATGAGGATTAAAATTTATAATTACATCCATCTATAATGTTTTCAAGTTCTTGAATAACTCCTGTTTTGCTTTACAGAAAAAAATCCATACCAAACCTCTGCACTATTACTCTAGGTCTCTAAGGAGTTCTAGGTATCGTAAGAAAAACTCAGGGGTTAATAGTGTGTACACATACCAGACCATTAATTTCTCTTACCCTTGTCATGTGGAAAAGGTAAGATTGGAAATAAAAACTCTATTCTATTTTATGTCTTGATTCCTTTTCTTCTCTCTCCAAAAATAAGCCCAACTAACCCAGAAACCTAATCTTATCTCAATTAGAAACATCCTACTTCAGAGGTAAAGATGATATTCCTTAATCCATACATTATTCTGGAAGAAACTCCAAGCTTAATTTTCATATATGCCATCTCAAACATCAAAAATTCTGAAAAGTCACTTCATTTTATTTAAAGTACAAGACTATGCATTTGAAAAGACCTTTGCATTAAGTTAGAATAAGAGACATAATGTTTCAACCATTACCTTCTCAGAATTTGTGCAATGGAGAAAAGTGATACAAATGAAGATACTAGCAAAAGTATTTGTAGGGCAAATTCTATTAAGGTAGTGATGATAAAATACTGACACGGAACAGTCAAACTAAGCTGTCCTGTCTTAAATCTGTTCTGTTTTAACAAGGTTTGAAGAGCCAGGTTTATGAAAGAGCTAATTTGACCCTATAAAATTACAGGAGCAATCATAACTATCATCAAATGCACCTGACTACTGGACTAACCACTAGTTTAAAATATAGGAGAGGAAATCAGTTCCAAACAAACAACTACATTTTTACCCTTTTTAGGGCTACAGAACTCTGAATTTGAAAAAGAAATCACCTTTTTATAAAAAGGTTTAAAAAGACCACCTTGTTTGTACCTTCATTCATTTATTTTTTTCTTCTAGAAAGCTGAAAATGCAGATGAATCAGTAATTCTAAGAAATATGTAATCAGTTTTCTCTGAAGGGATCCACACTACCTTTATAATTCTAGTGTCCATGTAATGCAGCAAAGCTCCAACAATCTTCTAATTACAGGGAATTATACTATTAGCCAACAAACATAACACATCACTGGAATCCATTTCACATTACTGAAACAGGTGCAAACGTTCTACTGAATATGTACGTAGTTTCTGTCTTACAGAAAAAGATGTTACTCATTCTTTAAAGACAACCCAAAACTAAGATCTGTGATATGCAATCACTGGAAGCTATCATTTACGACACTGAATGATAATTCTTTATGTAACATATCCTGTTCTCCCAAAACGAATGAATGGTTATTATGGTCTTTCCTATAGGAAACTGAGGTTCACAGCTAGCTAGATTCCACACTTCTTCTGAAATTCTAAGTAAACCATAATAAAAAAAGACACTTAAGCTTCATTGCAAAAGTCCAAATTAAGTGGAAAGCATATACCTTTTTAAGATTCAATTAATTCATTTGTGCAGTTTCTTCCATCTCAGCTGGTACATTAGTTTTTAAAATACATGTTTCCTTGCAACTCTCATCAACTGTATACGAGCTGAACAGCAGAAGGGGAAAAAGGTCTAATTGAATGTCCTATAAAACTGTCAGATTAAACACACAAGAAAGAGGGCAAGAAAAGATTTTTGCTGTAATTTTAAGACTACAACCCAGCAAGTATGAGGTGCTGGAAGCACAACAGTTCACAAAGGCTCAGCTACATCAGGAACCCAGAAAACCGAATAGGGAGATCTGGGCCTTAGTAAGAGATTAGATCAGGGTTTTCAGACAAGAAAGAGGTTTAATAGTCAGATGTTCACAGCAAAGAAGCTTAAGGAAAGCATTGGGCGCAATAAGACTTTTCATGTTGTAAAATTTTCAGGAATGTAACACTTCTTTAATTTTTGATGATGTTGATTTACATCCCTCTTCCCTTCTACATCCTGAGCAGTCTCTCCATAGATGAAGGCAGAAAATGCTGCCCTAATACTATTAACTCCTATGTACTCTTTTCCAGACCATCCAAATTGCAGATTATCCAAGTCACGGATGAAAAGCAATTGCTCAAATGCACTGAATTACTTAGCAGCAGGCTGGTACACAGTCAGTCTCCTTACAGGGCCACTCTGGCCCTTGTAACAATACTGTACTGCCTATGTGGAAGATACTGAGGCTAAAACCTCACTGGAATAAGCTAGCTTCAGGGTTCTCCCAAGTAGTACTGTGTGTACTTCATTACAAATACAAACTACAGGAGTATTTCCTCTGGTTTGCTTTATTTATAGCATCCCTTCCTTTGCTTCACATACCCCAGATAAATCCCAACAAATTTTGTTAAAAGGCAAGTCAGTTTTGACAAGATGCTTAAGGTAGCATTCTATGTGTACCACCTAACTTGCTCTGAATTTTCAGTATTTTGCATGTTACAAACTATTTCTCCAACAAAACAGGCTTTTTTTCAAGAAGACAAGACATCACTGCAAGAAGCAATGCACACAGAGGCATTTAAATCTCCTGCCACCCCTCCATGAAAAAGCATACATAACCATCAGTTGTTTTGAAGATAAAGTTCAAAAGGCCCTATATGTCTCATTAAAAACATAAGAACACTACTACTTATGCATCTAATATTTTACAGTTGACTTTGCAAGTCTTTAACATAGGGACACCAATCATTGCTGCTGCAGGAAGAAAAAAAACTGAAGTGGATCCACACGTTAAACATTCTAGTAGCAAAGATGACTACTTGCTTTTTCAAAGAGCATAGAAGCACCAGTTTAGGTCAATTTCTTTTTCACATTTTCCTTGTAACTAAGCCCATATTTTATTCAAGGTGCTTCTGGTCCAAAACACAAAACACAGTGGTCCTCCAGTTACCCTCCACTACCATTGGTACATCGTACATAGAAGAGAGAAAGCTCCTTAGTTCACCTCCAAGGCTTCCAGGTCATGTAAACCATTCTGACTCTTAAAGCCTGTGAGACTTAGTGATGCCAGAGGGTATCCAAGCAATAAAGTAACACAAGCCCACACAAGCCAATACTACCACTGGTTTTAAGAGGTAAACTGACATGTTTTAGAGCAGATGGAATCAGTACTTTCCTCGGCAAGTGTACCTATGCCAAATACAAGCTTAAGAACCGGGTTTTTCTTTTCTTGAAATTAGTGCAAGTGTTAATTAGCAGCTTATCTGAATAGCAGATACAAAACCAAAGTCAAATACATTGTTAGGCACTTTAGCTTCCCATCAGCTGCTGTGATAAGCTCACATATAGTCATCAGACATTTGAAAAAGAAAGGGCAGATAAAGCTCAAGAAACTTACATATGCATTAGCACTGCTCTTGCTCAGTCATTTAGAAATTTGCAATAATAATAATAAAAAGGTAGACTTACTCACCCATTTTGTGAAAAGAATTTCTTATAGACCCAGAAGGCTGCCAGGAACACCACTATTGCCACAATCACTTTAGGAAGAATTAAAAAAAGCCTTAGAGTGATAAAGATCATCTCTAGCTCACAAAAAAGCCTCAAAAATTTTTAGCAGAAATAGCACTGTCTTCATCCACAGTCCTAGACACCCTCCCCCCCGCCCCCCCAAAACCCCACCTTAATTTGCATGGCTTATTTCACAAATATGTATTTGATGCTTTACTCAAGACTTTTCAAGATAGTTCAGCTCAAGAACAGTCACCACCAAGATGGCAAAACCCCACCAGCTCAGTAACATTAAAACAGATATGTCAAAATCCTAACATTACTTTTTACAAGTTTATAAGAAAGCAGGAGGCTTACAAAAGTGGGTAATAAATGCAAGGACAGAAGACGGACTAAGCATTTTTGTTCACTGGCACAGTTATTTATTCACACTTCCAGTAAACCCAAGCTCTAAGAGTTTATGAAAGCAACTAAGTTGTGGAAGACTGCCTTTGAAATCTGATGTCTCACATACATGAAAAAAATACACATTTTACATGAAATTAATCTGTAATTGCTAAGAAATTTTAACTTTTCTTGAACTATGCAGGAGTAGACAAGCATTTTTAAAATAACCAAAAGTCAAAAATCATTACTGCAGTCACAGGTGATGACCAGAATATCAATTCCACATAAAAAATACAATCCACTTCATATCTTGTTCAGGTTTTATAACATACTTACCACAGATGATGGCTGTAATATAGGCACCTAAAAACAGAGTGAATCAGTATCACAAGAGGAACACATGTGCTTCTTATTCGAACATTATTATAAAAATATTCCGTGATTTCAAATAGATCAAGCACTGCTGTCAATACAATACTTACAGCAGGCCAGTTTATATCATAGCATTTATTTAACTTGAAATATTCCTGTTTTTAAATGGATTTTACCAAAACCTATTTTTCTTGTGTCAAAATAAAGAAGGAAGTTTGCATTAAATGATTTCTCCTGAATACAAAAGAACATCCCTAAGTAAAGCTTTTGTTACATGTATTTTCATTCTAGTGGAAATTCTTGCAGTTCATACTTACTTAACTGGCAAGTTGGCACTCCAGGATTCCATTGGTTTTCTCCAACATACTCAATACGAGTTGCACCATGTAACGTGTAGCCTGCATAACATTCAATTGTAATAATATCCCCGACAGAATATGAAGATTTTTGTCCATCAATTACTCTACCGTAACTTATGTGTGGAGTGAAACCAGAACTTTTAGGCCCACCTGGAAAGGGGGGGGGGTGCAGAGAAAAAAGGAAATTAAGTCCAAGAGAGCTGGTACATGAAGCAGATTCAAGAAGTTGCCATCAGAAAGTCCCTACATTTGTGTAAATACCAGAAGCTCAGCCAATCCTTACGACATTTTATATACAAAGGCTTCCTGCTTCCTAGAGGCTGCAGATACTTCTGCTGACAGACATGCTTCAGACACATTAACAGAAATGCACGTCTCAGCTTCATTAGGACAAACAGTTGCATCAAAGTAATGACAACCTCTGTTTATATTATAACAAGCAATCACATGGTGCAAAGTGAGGGGACAATAAAGTCTGCCATCATCAAAGGAAGAACCTTCAGAAAACACCCCCAAACAGATCTTTCACGCTGGCTTTTGAACTTTACCAATTTCCATAAACAAAACTAAGACTGAACAAGGACTCCAACTCTGCCGAAAACTTTCCTTCAGTTGCTGAAACTCCAGCCAGTGACACTCACAACCTTACTAACATAACCTGTTGGTGCTCTGCTGATAGACCTCTAACTTTTAGGGTCTGCACACTTCTATGTCAGACCTTTGGAACTTGTCACTCTGCCCTTGATTTTACCAATTATGAGTTTTACTCACATGCACAGTTTTGTAAAGAACTCCATATATTCTGTCCTTGACAAGTTACTGTCATCTCTTCAGCGCCATCAGGAAAAGTACAAGAAGTATCGCACTTTATCTGAACAGACTCTCCTCCTTCATATACAGATTTAGCTGGAATCACTACTCCATGTGCGATATTTGGGGCACCACATGCATCTGCAGTAGCCAATATGTGAATTTAAAAGTAAGTTTAGTGATAATAAACTTTAAATATTTTATAATTCATGAACTCACTCAAAAAATATACATTGCCTTTGTATGAGAAAAATAGATCAGCATATCTGAATAGTTTAACTTTACCACAATTTTAAGTATAGATGTTTCCTTTAGAAGACTTAGAAGAAACATCACTGTAGGTATTCATTAGGTGATATGATCTTATGATGTGGTAGCTAAGGAACTCTTACTTGTTGGTTAATTATTTTTGTAAGCACTAGAATCATTTCCAGGTGCCTTATCAGACCCATTCATTATGGAACACCCAAACATATTCTTTGTAGAAGTGTTTCTCATTCTTGGGAACTCATTATTACTGTGTGCATGTAAAAAAATTCTCTACAACATTTCCTCTCCCTGTAGCACAAAGGGGAAGGAGAAAGGTTACAAAAAGACCTCTGCAATGTCCCCAGCCCTGCAAATTGTCCTGACTTAATAATTTGCCTGATCAAAATCTAACAACATACTACAGACTATACAAGATGCCTGGAAAGCAAAAGTTGAAGAGCTGCGTAAGAGAACACAGACACGTAATGATTTTGATTACTCTACAAGGACACTATAGGTTTCCTCATTGTGCATACTTCTAGTTTTTTCTATCAGAATTCAGAAACACATCTTTTCTCCTGTATTTACACATGAAGTCACTAGACCAAACACCGTGATGCTATTACAGTATGTCCACATCACTTCTATATGCATATCTGTAACTCAACTCACTCTCATCCAAAAACTCTTTGGAGTTAAGAGTCACTTGAACACCTAAAATGGTTGCCCACAGATGAGGCTCCATGTCAACTTCCTTAGCTTCCAATTTCCAACTACAGCGTTACAATTTTAAATTTTAGCTAAGACAGACTTAGAACATTCACAACATACAAGAAAAGTTGGATTCTTATTTAAAGGCTTACTTTTTTCACAAGTTGGTTTTGGAGGAACCCAGGTGTTATTTTCTCTACAGGTAATTACCTCCGGTCCGATCATGAAATAACCTGGATCACACTCAAATATAACCGAGTCCTTATAGCTATAGGAAGGTCCAAATCCAGTTTTTTTTCTTCCATTTTCAACTTTTGGGTTATCACATTTGACCACTAAAATAGGTAAAAGAAAACCAGCTCTGAAACATTTGTTAACAGTATCTTTGTAACAGATGCAGCATCCTTTTACTGCTTCTAAGTTTCCTCATCTAATTCCTCAAACTATTTTGGAGAGGGTCTATAAAAAAGTTATTCTCTTGAAGGTGCTGAAGGTCCTGGTTTTAAGGTATTGAGTTGTAACGGTACTCAGTCAAATAAGAAATTGTAATAATTGATATAATCACATTCCACTTCCAGAAGACATACTCCTGTGCAGTGGCAGAATTTCAGAAAACAAAGTGATATTGATTAGGGTTCAAATGACAACATGCAAGCATCTGGTATTTTTCCCCCATGCCTGCAAAGCAAGACTGTGTTGGCTGGGCTTTGCGTTTATTTCTGCATTTGGACAGGAGCTGTGTTTAGAAAGAGTTGTTCCTCACCTTTTTACTATTCATAATCTAGCTTCCACATTCTTGCTCTTTACACCATTTTTCCTCATCTACCCAAGTTTTATGGTCTCTCAGTTCCTTCACTTTGTCACTTTTACCAACAGCATGCTCATACACGTATTTTTAAAGTGTCAACCTAAATTTTAGTCATATTCTGTGTCATAATCAATCAATATCCATAATGCAGTTGATCTGATCTCCGCAGGAACTATATCAAATTTAGTACCAGAGGATCTGTTTCTTCTTTTCTATAGGGAAGTCCCACCACTCACCCCTTCGAAAAATGGGACAGATACTGAAGTCTTGGAGTCCCATAGGCTATAATAAAGAAGTATATTAAAAATCTCAACAACCTCTACATTGTGGAGGTGGTTCACTCCAAACTCCATTTGACTGTGCATTGTATGTGCAGAAAATAGTAGCTGGGCCAATCAGCGAAAAGGGATCCGCGCCTTTTGGTACATCATTACAACTATAGGTTACTGACGTTTGATAAACATAGACAGCTGCTTCAGTGTAGCGCCCATTGGTTATGTTTGGAGGTGGTTCACAAGGAATTCCTATAAAATAAATCACACAAATTAGTCGACAGAATTTTGCTGTTACTTTGTTCATCATAGCAAGCCTTGGTTTTCAAGTCACCTCATTTATAATTTGACGTATAGCTACTTCTAAGACAAGCTACAGTTCTAACAGAGAGTTACCGATGGTTGTTCAGTATAGGGAGTCTCAATTTCAAGAAGAGGTTGACATTAACTAATATAAGCTAATTATCACAATAACTGTTATTTTTCAGTGGTCATTCCTCAGGCACATCCCAAGTAGTTCCAAAAAAAATAAAAATAAAAATCAGTTCTATTTTACCATCATTTCTTATACTGGAAGGTTTATGGCACAGCTGTTTTTAAATGAACTACCGCCATCTGAATATAAACTTAAACACGGTAGTAATTTACTTACTTTCACAGAAAGGAAGATCTCTACTCCAGCCAACACCTTTATCCTTAATTACACAGGAAATTTCAGCAATTCCACGTAATCTGAATCTAGACAGGTAAAAATTTTTAAGGATGTGAAACTTAAGAAATCTCTTATTTCTCCAACAAGCACCTAGGAACTTTGTTTATATAATTCTGTTCTGTGATTAGGGGGACATAACATACCAAGTTTTCATTGTAATGAGAATGGTATCTATTTCTTTTTTTAATTTATTTTGCTAACAGTCTCAACTTTGAAAACAAACAAGAAGTAAATGAGACATCCCTAAAGGAACTGATGGAAGTCTCACCATTTTAAGATGTGCACCCTCTAATACTAATGCCGTAAAGTTATTAATACTAAAGAAATAAGCTGTTAAAAGGAGAGGGTGAGTGAAATGAAGAATGATAAATATATATATATTTATTCCTTCTGCCACAGGAGCATTAAAAGAAGTCATTAGAAGCAACACTCTAGTTTTCACTCTGCAGAATCTCAATAAAAAGCTTAAGCCTTGGTTGATGCAAACAGCAAGTAAAACCTGGGAATCAAATCAAATTTAACTGTAATTTCATTTGCTCCAGTCCGAATTCAGGAGACATTTCAAGTCAGAACTGGAATGTAACCTGCATAAGAAAATTTTGGTTTGGTTCTAAACAAACAAAAGAACCTCCCCCCCCCCAAAAAAAAAGGATTCATTAACTTCACCAAAATACTTACCCTCCTTCACAAGAAAAAGTAGCTTTTGAACCAAATGTAAGATCTGTCACATTAATAAAACCATGTTCTAAGTCTCCTGGATGGTTACATTTTCTCTCTAGGGGGAGCAGGAAAGAAAAGGAAAAAAAATTCTACACCTTTGTAGTTATATACAAAGACTAAGTCTTTGGCATATACTGCTCGTACCATTATTGGCAATTTTCAAGCTTCGTTTAAAATATTACAGAACACTAATTCTCACTTGAAAAACAACTAAACTTGTTAAATATCAAAGGGAAAAAGCAAAAGAGCTCACGCATACATTACCGGTACAGAACTGCTCTGTAGGTGACCACTGTAAGTCTTCACCACATGTACGAGCTGATGATTTTCCAGGGATTTTTATATACCCTGGCCGGCAGATGTATGACACCATGGTTCCAACAGGAAAGTTCTTCATTGTGCTGAAACGCTCCTCGAGCTCTGCATATTGCAGCCTGTCTGGAGCCATACACGTGTCTGTCAGAGTAAGAGGAAAGAAAAAGCAATACACAATCTTGTCAACGAGAAGAGATACAAGTTGAGGCATAATGGCATAGAAGCCAGGCTAATTCAGCAGTTTTTAAGGACTCGTTGGTAAATCAAAGAGGTGACATTCTGAAGAGCCAGAGCTATCTGAATACTTAACAAGGTTTCAATTTTTTAAATTTATATTTTAATTGCATCCAGCGTCCAACTCCACACTAGTACAGGTTACTTACTCATTTGTTTTCTCAAGTTCTTTAGCACTCTACACAGACAATGCATTTCCTTCCAGTTCATATTTTTTGTCTGCTTTATTCTTGTAGCTAAATACGTGACTTAATTCACTGTATACTCACCTGCAGTAAAATGCCTGCTTAGCTTGCTGCAGGAGAAACAAACCGACCAACCACATCGGCATAGTTAGTTCTCTTTTGTAAGGCAAAAGGCCTGGCAGACCATAAAGGGGGTGGGGGTGTAAAAACCAGCTACCCAACCCAACAAAGACCTACAGACCCAGGGACATTTTGTGGTGCGGTTAACGCTGAAGATGTATAACTCCTCCACGCTAGAGGACTCACAAAAAGACACTCAAGACGTTGCAATCCAGGTACAAATATAAGATCCGCTCAGTCTTTGCAAGACTTGCACACGACAGAGGCCATCACCATTCTGGCGATACCTAATAATTTTTTTTCCACTCTATTTATGTTATTGTTTAGAGATTTACCAAACCACAAAAGAAATTTTAAACCCCAAACTCAGGGTTCGGAGCCGGCGCCCGTCAGCACCAAAGCCAGCCTGTTCTTGCGACACAACCGTTCTCTCAGCTTTTTCACCCCCAAAACCCCACAGCAACCGCCCGGAAATCTCGCTGTTTCTGCCACCGCCTAAACCCATTTCCTCCTCCCTCCCCACCGGCCGAGCGAGACCCGGGAAGCGCCCCGCCTCAGCCCACCAGCACCCTCGGGGCCGAGCTCGCTCCCTCCTCCCGGCTGCCCTCGGGGACGGGAGGCCGCGGGGACTCGGCCTGGGCCCCCCGAGCCCCTCGGCTCACCCCCCGCCATGGCGGGCCGGGGAGGGAGCGAGCCCCCGTTCCTCACCCTGAGCCCACGTTCCACCGAGCCACGACAGCACCAGAAGGAGGAGGAGACCCGGGCCGCGGGCGGGCGGGCGGCGCGGCGGCCCCATGACCGCGGACCGTTCGGCGCTCCTCACGCTCAGGCGGCAGTCAACCCAGACGCAGCGCGGGGCTGGGGCGCATGCGCGCTGCGCGACCCGCCCTTTTCCCTCAGCGGGGGCCGCCGCCGCGGCGGGGCTTTGGGGCCCCTCGGGAAGGGCGGGGAGGCGGCGGCTTCCATGGCGGCGGCTGGGCCGGCCTGAGGGAAGCGGGCGGGCGGAGAGGGCGCGATCCTTTCCTGGGCAGGGTCCCCCCGCTACGTCTCCGGCGAAAGAGGAGAAGCTTCAAAGGGCGTTGAGTGGCGCAGCTCCTGCGCTTGGAACGGCGACAAAGGCTTAATTAAAAAATAAAGGCGGCGGTGTGCCGGCCCCGGGATGAACAGCCCTCAGCGGGGCTGCCTCTCCTCTGGAAGACAAACCGCCCCTGTTGCCCAGCAGAGCAGTATTAAAAATAAACAAAAAGGCTTCGAAATCTAGCCGGACGCCAAAGGAGAGACAAAACCTAGAGCAGTTACTGTCCCACATTCAGCTTTTATTGGGTGAAGCGTTCGTAGAGGAACACCGCAAAGCAGCGTTCCTGGAAGAAAAAGACAGATGTGAATACGGTTGCCATTAAGACAATCTTATATTTAACAAACTGTGACTTCCACACAGGCGCAGGAACGCTCTGGTGGGTCTTGTGGTAACAGGGTTTGCAGATTGTGACGGGAAACCTCATCAGACAGCAGCAGTGCACAGAAGAAATCCCTCTGAAACGGCACCTGTACTGTGGGCCGTTTGTTAGACCCTTACAGTAACTAGTGGGAGCAGAAGGAGCGTTAACATTGATCCTAAAGTGCCTTTTTCACCACAGAATTTCAGTCTCCACGTGAGCAACGCTTCCATGCAACCTGCAGCCGCCCTTTGTGCGGAGAACAAGTTTAATGCCCGGTGAGTGACAGCACAGATGCTCAGCCTAGGAGAAAGATGACATCCTGGTGTTAACATTAGACTTTTCCTCTTTTCACACTGATGTCTAGAGATTACATTGTAACTCTGGGTGGGAGGAAAGAACCTCTGGGAAATGCATTGTTTCAAAGGGGGAATTGCCTGAAACCAGCCTTTAAAAAAAAAAAAAAAGAGCTAATGTTTATAGGTGCCATTTTGCAGTCAAAGCTGATTATGTTCAGAGTGCTGCTAACAGTGAAAATTCATTGTTATCTGCAATAGATTCAGCATAGAAAGTAGATTCACCCATAAGTAAAAATGGCATTGCAGTAAGTGTAAAAGCAAGCAAAAAAACCCAAAGGCCCAGTTCAGTGTCCTTTTCTGATGCTGCTGCTGTTAAGGTAGTTATTTAGAGAGTAAGCTCTCCCGTAATCCTCATAAAACAAAAGCAGCTTTATGTCAGAAGCAAGGCATAGTCTGCAAGTCTGACCTGTGAACACCACCTATTCAGGTTATGGAATAGGTAACACACTCATCGAGGGTGGTGTCAGAAAGAAAAATAGGATGTTTAAAAAAACCATTATGTTTAAAACTGCCTCTTTTATTCAGCAAAAGAAAGCATCTTACCAGAATATTGAGGGGAAGGAGTTTTCTACTTGAATGACTATATTGGAACAACTCAAATTTGCAGCTATAACCGATATTTTATGTTGAGGAATCTAAATCCATACCTTCTATGGAACACATGAACATTTCTGTTCCATAATCTCATTCAGAGGGGTTTGGTAACTGTAGTTTTCATATGTATGATAATAGCTAAGTGAAAAAGAAGAAAACAGTGAACTGTATTGGGTTGTAAAAGAACACTCAGGTAGGTTTCCTCTTAGGAAGAGAGTCTTGAAATAAAACAACACAACCACACCATCGATTCCAGGTTGCTGTGCCTTGTACAGTTTGCAAGCATGAGCGGAAGGTACAAAATTACAAGACCCAGGCACACTCAGGAAAATATTCCAATTGTATAAAGTGTGTAAAACTTGGGACTTGGCAACAAAGGACATGAACGAACATCCAGAAGATCGCCTTACCCTTGCTTCTGCTTAGAAATAATTTTCCAGACAATGCCTGCCCCCAGGAGAAGCAGGACTCCTGCAGCTGCGACTCCTGAGAGAGAAAAGCATGTATTACTCTCACTGTATGTTTTAAAGCATATCAGTACAAAAGACATAACAAGGCAGATCTGCAAAGTAAGCAGAGGGAAATGGTGCCACTGAGGTCACTGCATAGAGTTAAAGATCTGGCTACAAAACCATCTTTGAGCTGCTTACCTAGGCCTACTGAACCAGACTTGTGTGATGCTGAAGGGAAGAGAAAAAGAGAAATCAGCAAACCATTCTAACAAAATATGGTGTTTCTCAGCTCTAGTTAATACAGTACTAACAATAAAGCTTTTACTGCTAAGGCCTACAATACAGGGTTCCTTAAAAAACACACCATTATACACTTTTGTTATATATACAGAAAGACATTTGCATGTTTTAAAATGCATTTGCATGTTTCTGTTTGATCTTTCCTTCGTTCACATTTCACTCACTCAGTTTACAGGCTGGTACAGGGGGGTCCCAGCTGAAGTCCTCTTGGCACTGAATCTGACTGATGCCTTCCAAAGTGTAACCACTTTCACATTCAAGAGTGATGTTAGTCCCAGAGCGATAAGTATTTCCTTTTATGGCTTTCTTAACACCCTGAACTTCTGGGAATACACATCTGATCTCTGAAATTAGAAGTAACAAAAAAAGGACATTTAATGAGAGGGAACATAAAATACAAGAAATACAACTGTGGGTTATTTAAGATATGGTTCTTGAATTCTTTCTGAATGAAATCAGGAATTAATTCTTATTCCACAGGGTAATTGCTTTCTTTGTGGCTGCAGAAGAATGTGGGTGTCTTACTCCCACGTGTGGAAATCTGTGCAGATCAGCTACTCCACACTGATACAGCAGATGGAAAACTATGTGTGGTAGGGGTACCTTGGGAGAAGTCTGCCAGAGAAAGAGATTTTTCTGATACTGGGCTACTAAAACATTTGGAGAAGAAAGGTGAAGAATGCAGGGAAGAATGCAGCGGGAGCTTTAAAGCCAACTGCCTATAACCCTCTTCTAGTCTGTAGAAGTCCCTTGCCCTTAAAAGATGTCACCAGCCATATTATTTATCAGTAGTTAATTTATTAATTAGTCCAGCCATCTAAGCTATTTATACCACTGATTTCAACGAAGTGAGTTAGTTGCTTCAATTTACATGTCTAATCACCTTTGACAGTCCAAGCCCAAGAATTCTGGAGGAGAAGGTTCTCAGTGGAGACCAAAGGGGTAACATCAATGTGTAACTTTTTGCCTTTGTCTCATGTCTGTTCTTTTAATATTTATTTTTATTTTCACACGTAATAGTTACTAAGGACACTTCAAAACCACGAGAATGTCGAATGGCAGGGAGAATTTTTCTGTGACACTGCTTCCTTTAAGTAGCCTCTGACTTATTTACATAAGCACTTGGTACATTATTTCCTCTCATTGTTATCCAAGCGCTTTTCAATTCTTGAGTCACTGAGGTGGGTGCAACACCACCAAGGAAGCACCTTGTGTGGGTAATGAATTTATTCTGGTGAATGTCCAGTTTTCCATGCAGGAACACCCACATTAGGAATCTTGTGACATTCATGAAATTGCCATTAGGCAAGTTTGCCTGATGACTGACCTTCACAGTGAGTGACACAGAAGTGCCAAGTCACAGGTGTAGAGGCATTTTCCGAGAACGGAATAGGCAAGCTCATATGTAATCTACAAACCCTACATCAGAGGCAACTTTTCTGATGTAATCACTTCCTTTGTTTCCTTTTAGGGATAACTGGGGAGTGAGAGACACAAAAAGAGAAGAAAAGGGAAGGGAAAAAGTTTCTCTTCTTCTACTAAAAGTAAAAAGCTTTTAATGGAGGAAAGTTGGTATGCAACTCATTCATAGCAACAAGACCAGAGATGGAAAACATGCGAGAATTAAGACTGCCTTTCAGAATTGCCTCCATTGTGCTCATATCCTTCTGATTTTTAGCATGAGGTTCCTGTCCTGCTTCTTTACAACAATATCATACTCTTCCCAGGGATGACACAGAGTAGATAAATTCATAATCAACAGATCAACACTGTCTAGCTATGATATAAAAGTGGTTCCCAAGCAAAATAATGGGATGGAATTCAGTGTTCACTGCAGAAGATTTTACTGCTTAAATTTTGGCCCATGTATCTCTCTGAACATTTAATTTTTTCCCAAAGTAAAATGTGTATATCAGCATGGCTGCACATCTCCTCAGCCCAGTTCTGGTTCTGCCACCACCACACTTGGTGAATTCCAAAAAACATGAGCAAACTAAGCACAAACACACCTTTGCACTGAGGATGAGGCTGGCTCCAGGTTCCTGACACCGTGCAGTTGATGAAAGCATTCCCAACGAGTGAATAACCGGGATTGCAGCTGTAGGACACAGATGCTCCATAGGAAAAAGTGTCAGAGATGTTGCCTTTGAGCTTCCCATTGGTGATGTTTGGAGGATGGAGACACTTCACAGCTGGAAAGTCAGGGAGACACAAACAGTGTTGACATGAGGATCCTGATGGACTGCCAGAGAGTAGCTAAGGCACCATACCTTTGTAGCCTTGATTGTTCCCCTTTAATTTCTTCACCTAGACTCAACAACTGATTTTGTAACCCTGTAACTCCATCAGGCTTTGGAAATGAGTATAAACTTGATCTTGTTCTTATCACACATTCTGTAGTAAAGGACTCGGATTTAGTCCTTATACAAACCTTTCCCTAAGGCAAGTCATGTTAAATGTCCTTTCTTCTTAGCTCTCTGCAACCAAAACACACCTTGACAGACCGGAGGAGGATGGCTCCAGGCTCCAGATTGTGTGCAATAAATGGATGCTGTCCCAATGCGAGAGAAACCGGGCTCACAGATGTAGCTTACAGATGTTCCAGGAGTGAAAAACACTTTTGCTGGGCTACTGAGAGACCCGTGGGCGATCTCTGCAGGCTTGGAGCAGTACAGCACTAAAAAGAAGTGCAGATCAAAACAGAGCTCATACAGGCAAGAGGGGAAACTTTTGAGCACCTGTGGATGGCTGTACGCTTACACCCACAGCATTGAATCCAACGCACAGAGCCAGCCCTGTCCAGCCCTCTGCACTCAGTTCACCCCAAATCACCTATAAAGTATACGGCACCACACACATTTCTTCTTACACAAAAGAACACTACCCAGCATCATCTTTCCTGGTTTATCAGATAAGAAGTGTGATTAGTTCATATATATATAATGGGAATTCCACACTTGTAAGACCGTATTATTACAACAGCCATACAGGTTCCTTATGGCTGGCAAAGCTGGCCTAAGCTCATTTTTAACGTGTTCATACTGAGAAACTGAGGCACCAGATACTGCAGCAATAAGAATGGGAGAAAAGAGGATAGATGGATCTTCAGATCTGAACACTAGACTCTGGATTTGTCTCACCTCCTAAACATGTTAAACACACGACCAAGAGTGATAAGGTCGAAAAGGATAGCCATCCAAGGACAGATAACACATGGTTTCCTCTTTCACAGCTGAGGTGTGGAGGATCCCACGTGCCCCCCAAGCTGGCACTGGGATTGTCTTTTGGGACAACAGCAGTGTTGCATTCCATTGTAATGATGTCTCCAGGCCTATACAGGGACTCCAACCTGATCACTTTTCCATTCCCAACTCTTGGGCTCACACAGCCAACTGTGGACAGTGAGGCTGTAAAGAACCTTTAGACTGTGAAACTTGTGTGGGATAGAGACCACAGAGTTCAGAGAGACCTCATTCTTTCTTTAGTGGTGGAGTTTTTTGAAGCAACAGCTTGTTTCATTCAGCAAGTCCTTAGGCAAATGTCACTATGTGTTTAATGCATTTAGAAAGTTGAGAAGATTCAGTGAAAAGAGCATAAACACACCTTCACACCGAGGAAGGGGATGGCTCCAGACTCCATATGTTGTACAACGAACAGTCTTATTGCCAATGAGGGAGAAGCCATGTTTGCAGCGGTAGTGCACAAGTGCTCCTACATCAAAAGTGTCTGAGAAATGACTGCTGTGTTCCCCGTTAGCAATGCTTGGAGGAGGCAGACACTTCACTACTGAAAGAGGATAGGGAGAGGGTGAGAAAGTGATGTTCAATTGTAAAAAAGGTGATAACAAGAGAGTAAAAAAGTGCAATTACCCCTCTTGCCTGCAAAAAGCAAGACAGGTTGGGAGGAGAACTTAGTGTTTAGTAAATCTTGCCTCTTATAATAGACCTACCTGGCTTTGTTGTGGTATCAGGATGATGATAGTGTTCTGCCACTCCATCTAGATGCAGCATTAAGAGGTTAAAATACATATTTGGTTGAGCAAGTACAAGGCACAGATTTACCTTCATTTTCCATCATCCTGCCTTTATATTTCCAGCAAAAATTTCACTCCTCTCTGATAGTCAGTGTCCTGCTATGAAACTACCAAATTTCTCACTTTCAGGAAATGAAGAGCATGTGAATTATGGATTGCAACAAGCAGGGTGAGAAAAGTGCAAATCGTGCTTATATTTACAGCATTACCCAAAATCTGGCTCATCCCCTGTGTGAGACAAGAGGTGTAAATAAAAGGAACAATTTCTGATTTTTCCTTAAAGTTGTTGGAGCAAACAGGAAAAATAAAGCCACCTTTGGCTTCAGTGAGTGGGTAGGAGCAGTCAGGAAGGAATCTGCAATGCTATCAAGTCAGAGTACTGACACTTACCCTGCTCACAGACTGGTACAGGTGGATCCCATGTTTTATCAGCTTGGCACTGGGCTGTGCGATGGCCTCGCAAGGTGAAACCTCTATGGCACTTAAAGCTTACAGTATCTTTGTATGTGTAGCGATATTTAAGAACAGATACTCCCCCATTCTGGATCTGTGGGACTGGACATACCACCTCTGAAAAATAAATTCATCATCTCAAAGAGGGAGCCATATATGTGCTGTAATTAATGCACATATAAAGTCCATCCTTAATGTGCCACTGCTCAGAGGAGCTTCACAGGTAGTACTTGGAGAATCACAGAAGAATAATTCCAAGAACTGAGGGCTTTTTAATTTCTTTTGGTACCCTAGGGTTACCACATTACTGTATGTATAAAAATAGTTTTGTGTCTATAAACAGAATAATGCAAATACATTCCAATAAATATATTAAATGGTGTAGAAATCCATAAGTGCTGTTAGCCATTCTCATGACTGCTTTACTATACCAAGCTCAAGCCTTCCAAAGCAATTTCATCTGAAGGAAAGACTAATTGCAATGGTCAGACCCTGCAAAACAGCCTTGTGATTTGGATAAACGTACAGTATTTGGAAGATCCCCGTTCAATTTTACTCAATATCCCACTCTTCTACTGCAAGACACATTTCTTCCTTAATTTATAATTTATGTTTGTGAAACAAAAGGAACAAATCCCTGCAGGCATCTCACAACTCTCCAGTCTACGTAACTATGAAAGATCAAAAGCTAGCATCTGGAAGATTTTTAGAAGAAACAAAACAAGCAAGCAAAACAAAAGAATCCTAGAGGAATATTATGCTTTAAAAGGTCCTAGTTATTTTAAGACATGTGACTTTTTAATTTTAAGGATTTAGTTTGGCAATTCTGGGCCAGATCTGGTTGTGACCTACTTACTCTGACAGATGGGAAGAACACCACTCCATGCAACATCTGGTCCAAAAATCTCACATCGCCTATGAGAATGTCCAACCAGCCGGTGCCTGGAGTTGCACAGAAAGAAATATCAATTGATACCAAGTCATTCAGCTTGGATTTTGCACTCCCAGCCTGACACTACCCCCAGAGGTTTTCTTCTGCAGCCTCCCGATTCTGGCTGGTCACCGAGGTGTTTCTGTTGGTTTGACACATGGGAATGAAGGACACCAAGTTCCTTCTTCCCAGCTCCAAGAGGAACAGCAATGATCCCAAAGTACTGTGGATTAGATTGGTCAGGTGCTAAATCGGGACTCAGACCCAAGTGATTTCCAAACTGCTGGAGCCTCCTTGCAGCACATGCTTGCTTGCACTCTCAGCTCCTGCTGGGTGGCCATCTGAGAAGGCAGACTGAAACTCAAGTTTGCAAAGTAATCTACTGAGCACAGGAAGGGGAAAATGAGAGACACTTCCTTTCCTGAGCAAGCAACTATGGCATAACTGGAACCAAAATGCAAATTCTGGCTTGCTGTGGGAGAATGGCCCGCACAGAAGAGTGGGCTCTGAGCCTTTACTGTAAGTTGCCCAACACCGAGCTCAGAAATGGAGTCAGCAAAGGCAGCATGGAACTTACCCTTCTTCACATGTGTGTCTCACAGTTGACCCAAAAAGGAGATCTGTCAGAACAACAACTCTGCCATTCTTTGGTGTTTCTGGGTATTTACATTGCTTCCCTGGGAAAGAACAAGGCTGAGTTTAAACTCCTCTCTTGCAGTTTTGTAAGGCACTATGAGAAGGTATCTTAAGGATCTGTCCACATTTAGGCACCAATAAAGATGTGAATTTTTAAAAGGCCAATAGCTGCACAAACTATGTGACTAGTGAAGCCATGTATGAATCATTTTTTAAAGAATTGCTTTAAGAAACCCACAAATGTAGCTTAGACAATTTTCAACAACCAACATCAAACTGATTGAGCTATTCACTTTTACAGAACTCTAGTGCTTCAGACCACGTGTGGTTTTTGAGGCATGTCAGAGTTGGGGGTACTCCAGGGTGTCTCATGTATCCCAGCTGGCAGGTGTATCGCACAGTGTCTCCAAGAGGAAACTCTGTCAGATTTTTGTATTCCTCAGTTAGCTTAGCGAAGGTTAAGTTTGGAGGTGCACCACAGCCACCTATCAGGAAAGAAAACACAGGGAGAAATAGGGATATTGACTACACAAAGTTGTTTTAAAATGTATATTGAGTATGCATAGATAAAAGCTTACAAGCAAAATGATAAAAGGCTACATGCAAAACTGAAAACAAAGGGGAAGGACTGAAGGATTCAAAATCGTGGAAGGACTAAGGGAAAGGATGAGTCCTACAGGCTTTCAATGGCAGAAATCCCCAGACTATCCATAACTCCCATCTTGGAACCACAGTGTACCTGCACAGCGAGGAGGAGGGAGGCTCCAGTTTCCAGAGTCAGTGCACTGAATCGATGCCTCTCCAAGGAGCCTGTAGCCAGGGTCACAGCTGTAATTTACGACCATGCCAGTAGTGAAAACTTCCAAGTCCTGGCTGTTGTGATTTCCTTTCTCGATATTTGGAGGTGAAGGACATTGCAGCACTAAAGAGAGAGGACAAAAGAAAATGAAGAAAGGGCAAGGACAGACTAATATGCAGGAATATGCATGCACAAAGCCACCAATATGAGCACAGCAGCGTCCTGCATGTGCTGGAAGCACGCTTGGACCCCTGGGCGTCACTGGACGTGCAGTTCCCCCCTCCCCACACACCAGTTCTGTGGGCTGGCAGGTTTGCCTGCTCCAGCATCAGCCGAGCATGGGACAGATGCTCAGCCAGCCATGGGTGCCTGGGGACCCCCACCTGCGCAGCGTGGGTGTGGGAGGCTCCAGTTCCCCGAGGCCGTGCAGAAGACAGAGGGGTCTCCGAGGAGGGAGAAGCCGGGCTGGCAGCTGTAGCTCACGGACATGCCGCTGGTGAAGTTTGCCCCGAGCTCCGCGCCATGTGTGGCGTGGGCAATGACGGGAGGTGGAGGACACGGCAGCACTAACAGGGCAGGAGCAGAGAAAGGCATTTTAGTGGTTTAGCACATGTAAGACACCAAAAGACTGTCACACCTGAAGCGACGCAAGCGAGGCAGAGAGCACAAGCTCAGGGCCCCTCCAGCACGAGGCTGGCCCTAAGCATCCTCCTTCTAAATCCCTGATGTGCCCCACTCACCTGGCTCGCAGGTGGGGACAGCAGGCACCCAGCGGCCATCGGGCTGGCACTTGGCTTCATGGCTGCCCCACAGCATGTAGCCCGGGTGGCTCTGGAAGGTGATGTTGGCCCCGGGACGGTACACAGCGCTCCGTCCTTCAGCCACTTCTCCATTTGGGATGTTGGGGCTTATGCAGGTGATCACTGGAAGCGAAAAGCAGCAGAGCATGGGCTGGGGAAGCGGCTGCCAGAGCTAGGGGGTCCCCCTTTGGTTTTGTGAGGCCAAAATTCAGGGAAGGCTGTGCAACCACGATGGTCTCCCTTTTCAGTATGGGTAACAGCATTCACAGCTCACCTTCACACCGGGGGTAAGGGAAGCTCCAGGTTCCATTGACTGTACAGTATAGAGTTGTTTTTCCAATAAGAGAATAGCCGGGGTCACAGCTGTAATTTACAGACTTTCCAGGGACGAACATTTTCACATCCTTGCCATCGTGCTGGCCATGTTCAATCGCCGATGGGGAGGGACACAGCCGCCCTGCAGGGAAGGAAATCTTCACTGAGAACAGGATGGGCTTTTGGGTTATCTGTTTTCCCACCTAGCCCTAGAGAACTGAGTCTCTCTAAGTACAAGTATGGATTTTCACTTTCTCCCCTTCTTTTCTCCCATAATCCCTTTGTATCACTGGCATATCCACAAGTGAAAAATGCAAGCGAAGCACCTTCACACCAAGGGGCAGGGACACTCCAAGCTCCAGAAGAAGTACAATTAAGCTGTGCCTCTCCAACAAGAACGTAGCCAGGATCACAGGTGTAGCTCACAGACATGCCGCTGATGAAAACTGCCGTGGCTTGGCCACTGTGCTTTCCATTGGCAATGGCTGGAGGGTGAGAGCACTGCGACACTGGGGGAAGAGGGCAAAACCAAACTCATGTCACTAGTGAGAAGGAAGAGGAATATGGAAAAATGAGTGACATGGTACAAAGGAACATTGCGGCTGAGAGCTGCCAGCCTGTAAGAGGTGGGGAAGTATCAGACAGGTATCCCTCAGCTGCTGCTCACTGCCACGGTCCATCCAGATACGTCAACCCTCTGGACTTAGGAGCATTTACTTCTGTGCGCTCATCCCCAGCAAGTGCCAAAGGCCTCTTGCAGCAGGGGCGATGAGGGCACTGTCGTGCCCCGGTCCCTCCTGTCTTGTGAACAGCCAATGCTCCGCAGCACGACGCTGTGTGCACCCTGCCCTGCCCGCAGCCTCGCTGGCGGGGATGGACGAGCCCTACCTCCGCACTGCGGCGGTGGCCCGCTCCACACGCCGTGCTCCCCGTCCACCGTGGTGCAGAAGATGGAGGGCTCTCCAGCCAGCGGGTGACCGGCGTCACAGGTGTAGGTGACCACATCCGCGTAGGAGAAGGTGTCCATCAATTGCCCGCTGTGTCTCCCGTGAGGGATGTCTGGTGGTGGATCGCAGATGATACCTGTGGGTGCGTATGAGGTGGCTTTTAGCATCAGCGCTGCAGCAGCACCCAGGGTCTGCAGGACACACACGCTGCCCAGGAAGGGAACTGACAGGGATAAACCCATCTCAGTGGTGATGCTCTCTGTCTTTGCCTTGGAAGATCTTTCCCAAGGAAAGCGCCAATCTCAATCTTCTTGTGCTGTGTTTGGTTTCTTATCAGGCTGTTCGGCTCCTGCCACAACATACTTACTCTGACAGACGGGAACATCACCACTCCACCTCACCCGCGGCCCAGAGCTTGAAATCACACATTGCCGCTGGGATGCTCCAACTAGCCTGTGCCTGGGGTCAAACAAAGTCACTCTTGTCACTACAGGACTGTCTTTGGAGATCGCATCTTTCATAGCCACCAAGTATTGCCTTAGTTGTGATCTAATACTGCCATTTTCAAGCTGTGAACCTTAGCTCATATGGGGAACCTCCCCCTCAGGTCCCCTCAGTCAGCACAGGCAGTACACCCCTGGGGTGCTCAGGGAGCTGCCATGCCCTCTCCTCTTCCTTCTCTCCTCTAGAAAAGTCCACTGTAATGACGTCTGATTTAAGCCAAAGCTTCCAAAATGAACCCCCGTTTCCCCCTCATACGCTCCACACAACCAGACTCAGGCGGTCATGCCCTCTAATTGGCGTTTAAAAATTTACAAATAAATCCCCTTCTCCAATTTCTGTTGCCATGTGGACTAAAAACAGACCATTGTGAAGACCAGAATTGATTTAGTGCCAAAACTGTTTTAAACCACCCAAAGGATTCTGAGGTTTCCCCTGATCATTTGGATCATTTGTGTTTTCTCTCAGCACCTGAGAATTCCAGTTTCTCTTCCAGCACCGCCTTGTGCAGGCAACACTAGGGTGCTCTGAGCTCAGAGCTGCAAGCACTGGTCTCTTGTGGGAAGACACGCATTGCCTGTGAGTTGCAGGGAGAGCAGAAGCGTTGCTGACTTCATCTCGGTAAGGCGAAGGAGCTTGGCTAGGACTCACCCTTCATTGCAGGTGTAATTCACTGTTGACCCGAAGAAGAGGTCTGTTGTAACGATAACTCTGCCGTTCTCTGGTTCTCCTGGATGATCACACCTTCTCCCTGGGCAGAAGACAACCTGATTTTAAGCTTCTTTCACTCAATGCCATAGGAAAAGGGACACTAACTCTAGGAGTCTGCCCAAACACCCCAGAGGAGGGAGTTGAAAAGGAGAAATTACAAGGCTTCAGTCATCACACTTGCAGTTTAAACAAACTAGAAGCATCTGCAAAACGTACGTTTGCAAAACTCCTGGGCTTCAGACCACGTTTGATTTTCAAGACACGTAATAGTTGGTGATATCTGTGGATGTTTCATGTATCCAGGCTGACAAGTGTATTTCACAGTCTTCCCAACAGGAAACGCAGTCTGATTTTTATACTCCTTGTTTAGCTCAGCAAACGATAATATTGTTGGTGTCCCACAGCCAGCTGCCAAGAAACAAAACGCACACTAGAAATACATCCTGGCTGTGAAATGCAGCTAAAGAGAAACAAGGGCTTTGATAGGCACTGTTACAAACCCCAAGGTATTGATACCTCTTCTATGTAGTCTGACATTTGTCTACATAAATTAGCACTTACTTAGTATGTAAGGACACATGCACCTAATTTATATGCTCTTAAAAGACAATCCCCAAACTAAAACAATGCCTTCAAAAAAACAGTTTAGCCAGTCTGGTGTTTCCACACTCTGCACATCCTACACTGCAGCGCTGCCACCACACAGCGTGTCATCTTTGGGCTGTAAAGTGCAGGAATCTGCAATTTCAGAAATTAGAACACCCAAGACTGTCTCCTTGCAGGAAACCACGGGCTTTAGCAATGCTACCAGGTTATTCCCAATGCCACCAAAATGAGCACAGCAGCGTCCTGCATGTGCTGGAAGCACGCTTGGACCCCTGGGCGTCACTGGACGTGCAGTCGCCCCCTCCCCACACACCAGTTCTGTGGGCTGGCAGGTTTGCCTGCTCCAGCATCAGCCGAGCATGGGACAGATGCTCAGCCAGCCATGGGTGCATGGGGACCCCCACCTGCGCAGCGTGGGTATGGGAGGCTCCAGTTCCCCGAGGCCGTGCAGAAGACAGAGGGGTCTCCGAGGAGGGAGAAGCCGGGCTGGCAGCTGTAGCTCACGGACATGCCGCTGGTGAAGTTTGCCCCGAGCTCCGCGCCATGTGTGGCGTGGGCAATGACGGGAGGTGGAGGACACGGCAGCACTAACAGGGCAGGAGCAGAGAAAGGCATTTTAGTGGTTTAGCACATGTAAGACACCAAAAGACTGTCACACCTGAAGCGACGCAAGTGAGGCAGAGAGCACAAGCTCAGGGCCCCTCCAGCACGAGGCTGGCCCTAAGCATCCTCCTTCTAAATCCCTGATGTGCCCCACTCACCTGGCTCGCAGGTGGGGACAGCAGGCACCCAGCGGCCATCGGGCTGGCACTTGGCTTCATGGCTGCCCCACAGCACGTAGCCCGGGTGGCACTGGAAGGTGATGTTGGCCCCGGGACGGTACGCAGCGCTCCGTCCTTCAGCCACTTCTCCATTTGGGATGTTGGGGCTTATGCAGGTGATCACTGGAAGCGAAAAGCAGCAGAGCATGGGCTGGGGAAGCGGCTGCCAGAGCTAGGGGTTCCCCCTTTGGTTTTGTGAGGCCAAAATTCAGGGAAGGCTGTGCAACCACGATGGTCTCCCTTTTCAGTATGGGTAACAGCATTCACAGCTCACCTTCACACCGGGGGTAAGGGAGGCTCCAGGTTCCAGATGTCAAACAAGAAACTGTTGTTTTCCCAGTTAGGACGTAGCCCAGGTCACAGTAGTACTTCACTGATACTCCAGGGATGAACACTTTTACATCCATGTTCTCATACTGGCCATTTTTAATATTTGGAGGGGAGGGACACTGTAGCACTACAAGGAGGGGAAAAAGTCGTAAGTGTTGAAGAGGTGGTACCACAAACACCCACTGTAGGGTAAGGCTGCCTTTTAACTTCTTTCTTTCCCATAAACTTTTCCCAAATAGCTAGGGCTGTCACTCTTTGAAGTATGTTTCCATCCTACCCTCACTTATCTTCCAGCCTTCATGTTTTTCAAGCTTATTGACATCAAGAATGATCATTTCTCACTATTTAGGCATTTACAGCGGTTAGTTTCCATCTGTAGCCCTAACAGCTTGCTCTAGCCTTTCCGTGGTTGTGAACAAGATCAGACACTAGCCTGGCTCGCTGTCTCTTTGTGGATTCATTTAAAGAGATGAAAGCCCTACATAATAGGGGTCTGAATGGGGATTATGAAGTCAGGAGGACAGATATGTGCATGTTTTTCCTTCCCAGTCCTGGAGAGTGGCCCCTTTACTCCCATGTGAGGGAGTTGCACCCTGCCAGGTGCAGTCATACAGTGGTTCAGAAGAAATCAGCTACCACCACCGCCTCAATTACACTTACTCTTTTCACAGATGGGGACAGGAGGGTCCCACGTGCCCCCAAACTGGCACTGAGACTCTTGAGACCCCTTCAAGGCGTAACCAAAATTGCATTCGAAGACAATGGTGTCTGCGAGTCTGTACACGGTCTCCAGCCCAGTCGTTCTTCCATTCTCAATTTCTGGTCTTTTGCAGCCGGTTGCTGGAAGTGAAGAGCACAAGGCACCGCTGGGGACATGAAGCCCACCCTGGGTGTGGAGGGACACTGACCAGGGGCAGTACCTGCTGCTGAACCTTGCCATCAGTCTCATGAGTATGTCAACATTACTGACTCTTATTCTTAGACAAAATACCATTATTCAACTGCTCCTGAGAGTCTGTCCTTACTGGGGGACAGAAAGGGAAATCCACAGAGGCAGATGGAGCTCCTCCTGCCCGTGGGACCTTTGGTTTCTGCCTCTCACTGGAGATTTGGTCTGCAGCGATTAGACTGAGAGCCAAGAAGGAAGAAAGGGCCTGGGGAAAGGTAGAAGAAGCCAACACAAACACACCTTCACATCGGGGCCGGGGCCGGCTCCACGTTCCCGCAGCGGTGCAGCTAATGGAGGCGTTCCCGATGAGGGAGTAGCCATCCCAGCAGGTGTACTGCACAGCCATGCCTGGAAGGTGGGTGTCCGAGGGCTGGCCGCTGTGCTTTCCATTGGCAATGGCTGGAGGGGGAGGACACTTCACCTCTGGAAGGAGACGGAAAGGCAGATAAGAAAAATGGACAGGGCAAGAAGAAAAACTTTAAAAATCCAACCTTCAAAAACAAAAGGAGGAAGACAATTAATTCCATTAACGCCTTTGAATACATATCTGTCTTGTTAGCTGTCTTCCTATCAGTGGGTGCAGCCCCCACCGCAGCCACGGTCATTCCTTCTGCTACTCACAACCAAATCTCCCCAGCGGGGATGGACGAGCCCTACCTCCGCACTGCGGTGGTGGCCCGCTCCACACGCCGTGTTCCCCGTCCACTGTGGTGCAGAAGATGGAGGGCTCTCCGGCCAGCATGTGACCAGCGTCGCAAGTGTAGGTGACCACATCCGCGTAGGAGAAGGTGTCCATCAATTGCCCGCTGTGTCTCCCGTGAGGGATGTCCGGCGGCGGATCGCAGGCGATACCTGCAGGCATGTACAAGGTGGCTTTTAGCATCAGTGCTGCAGCAGCACCTGGGGTCTGCAGGACACACACGCTGCCCAGGAAAGGAACCAACGGGGACTGAACCCATCTCAGCGGTGATGCTCTCTGGATGCAATGAATTATCCAGAGACAAACCTTGTATGGAAAAAATCACATGTGGGAAGGATAACCTGTGCCCTCCTGTGAGTCATTTCCTTGCTGCCCATGTCTGGAGGTGGTGGGACAATTCCTACCTCCGTTTCCATAACGATTGGTGACATACGCAGCGAGAGACTGGCCACACCATTTCTACACATGACTAGTGAGAAATACTTACCCCAGTAACAGGGAGTTTAAAATATTAATGGTTTTCCCAGTTTGGACCAGGATAAATAAAAGACCTTTGGAAACATTTTCAGAAGCATCAAAAACAAACAAAAAAAGAAAAGATAAATGACAAATATATGCATACAGTGACTTGAGAAATCTTTTGCAATAAAATCTTTGTCTTGAAAGATGCACTACTTTCTCTTGCAAGCTATCTGCGAGGACCTTTTGTTGTGGCCTACTTACGCTGGCAGACAGGAGCATCTCCACTCCACGAGACACGTGTGCCAGAGACCTCACATGTTCGCTGAGAGCCTCCAATCAACTTGTACCTGGAGTCACAGCACATTTATTAATTAATTTATTAATTTACATTAAGAAAGCTGAGATTTCTTTACAACCCTTGTAAATGTCAGCCAAGACTTCTGATGTGGGAACTACATTCCTTCATGTAAAGCTGAAAAATCTGCTTCACTCTCACTTGGCAGCTGAATTCAGCTAGTTGCAAGACTCACCCTTTGTCACAAGTGTAATTAACTTTGGATCCAAAGAGGAGGTCCGTCAGGACAACAGCTCTGCCGTTCTCCGGATCCCCTGGGTTAGCACATTGTTTCCCTAGAAGGGGATGCCAGCCACCGTTAGCCCTCAGCTGCTCACTGACATCCCAGCCAGGGTTGCTAACACAGAGAGCAGTCTGCATAAAGTACAGAAATCCAGAAAGCTAGAAAAATGTGAAAATCCAGCCAAGCCTGACACTATAGGTGTTTCAGCACTTGCAGGACGTACTTTTACAAAACTCCAGCGCCCCAGACCATGTCCGATTCCTAAGGCACGTGATGGCTGGCGACATCCCCAGGTGCTGGGCATACCCAGGCTGGCACACATATTCCACCGTGCTCCCCACGGGAAAGACGGTCTGGTTGCTGTACGGCTTCTTCAGCTCAGCAAACGCCAGACTGGTAGGTGCATTGCAGCCAGCTACCAAGAAAGATAAGCCAGCCCAGTTGTTAAAGAGTCAAGAAAAAGCAGATATGGGAGAGCAGGGGGAAGGTTAACATTCAGAGTGCTGTTTGAACACTTGCCCTGCTCGCAGACTGGCACAGGTGGCTCCCAGGTGTTATTTAGCTGGCATTGTACCATTCTGTGGCCGTGTAGAACATAGCCTGGTTCACACTCAAAGGCAATGGTGTCCTTGTGTGTGTAGGCAGTCCTAGGAGACACTATTCTCCCATTCTGGACCTGCGGGACAGGACATCTTGCCTCTGGAAAAGAAGTGCAGGTCCTCAAAACAGGCCCTTACGCAGAGTGCAGAGCTGTGCAGCCGCAAAGCCACTTAGGGTTGCGATTCCTTTTAAGACACAAGTCTCAAAATAATTTTCCCGTAGAAGATGTACTGCCTGCATCCAGCAATGTCAAACATTGAGGGAGATACCCAAGCTGAAAGGTGAGGCCAGGGATGCTGGAGGCAGCGTGTGGTCCATCAGCCTCCTCCCCTCTGCCTGGCCTCAGCTGCAAATCCCCCCCTTGCAAATCCTCCCCCTAGCAGGCACTTGGGCAAGAAGTGCAATTGCCTGGAGGTTTCCTAGTCTTTCCGAACATGAAGCAGTAGGGCCGGGAGGATTGCACTCGAGTATTTACACGTGCACACACAAGCCTACCTCCGCACTGTGGGGGGGGCCCGCTCCACTCGCCGTTCTTCCCATCCCGGGTGGTGCAGTAGATGGAGGGCTCTCCATGGAGCGGGTACCCGCGGTTGCAGGTGTATGTTACAGATGTGCCAAAGTAGAATTCATCCAGCAGCCTGCCCGTGTGCTTCCCATTGGGAATGTCCGGAGGCGGCTTACAAGGGATACCTGCAGAGGCGCAGAACAAGGCTTCTAAATTCAACAGCAGCACCAAAGGACTTGAAATCCCTCAGTCTGTGGGGCATAAACACTTGTCCTAGAGAGGGAGTAACTGCAATGAAGTGATCTTCTAGGTGAGGCCTTGTAGGCAACTGGATCCTATCTCCCTGGCCAGCAATTTCTATGACAGTTAGAAAGCAAACCAGTAAGACAAACCTCTATGGAGGAAACACCTACATGCTTTATCTTTTCTACTGTTTAAGAAATAAAATAAAAGAGCAAATATTTATTTTGCATTGCCTGTGTACAATCCTGTTTTTTCAGCTGCACAGAGTGCAAAAGCATGCACAGGCAGCAATCTGTATGTCACCTTAGGTTAATATGTACCTGGAGAAGCTGTAAAATGCTTTAAAATCTCAGAATGTACCAGTATGTTTCTTTCTTCCTATGAGACTGTCACCTAATCAGCAACACTACTTAATCAGCAAACACCTGGGTGTAACTGCTGAGGTGCAGCCCAGCAGCTCTTCATGTACACACCAGTTATCTGTGCTCGGAGTGAAAGAGAGAGCCCACGGTTTGGGACTTTGGGATTCCCCTTCTGAGCCTCCCACAGCGCTCTGCCTCTCCTTGCGGTTGAACCTTGGTCTCTCTGCATCTAACAGTAACAACCCTTAAGATGAAGATAATATTTTCCCTTCATCTCTTGTGATGGGCTTGTGATGTTAGTCAGAGACAGGATACCTAAGTACTGCTGAAAAAGCTCCGGCTGAGACATTGCTTCCTATAATCCATAAGCATTGAGGTCTTACACCTTTTCCCAGAACATTTTCTTATGACATCAAAACTTTCTGATATTTTTTCATGCCCAGAGAGCACAGAAATTCCCTGTGAAAACTTTGATTGGAAAAATTCAGCAGTCTCTGCCGGAAAATATTTACCGAATCCACGCAAACCCCCAGATCTGTAAGCTACTTACGCTGACAAGTGGGAATGTCACCACTCCATGCAACATGTCCACCAGAGATCTCACATCGTCTGCTGGGTTGTCCAATTAACCTGTGCCTGGTGTTAAAAGGATTGAACATTCATCCCAAGTCATTTCAGTTGGAGTTATTACCTCCTCCTAAGCACTCTGGATGGTGTGATCAGCCCTGCTGACAGCAAGGCTGTGGCCCTGAAGGAGAAGTTCCCTTCCTAGCTCTGCCTGACCAGTTTTCTAGTATATACATGTATACATAAGATAGTGAACACCTTATGTGTTATATAGGTACAGAACTCTATACAGTGGCTTCTATATCATATAGAATCCATTTATTGAGAATGAATGAATAGGAGAAAAAAGGGAGACTTACCTAATACATCTCTCCTTGCTCTTTTAAGCAGTGGCCAAAACCAGGACTTACCCTTCTTCACAGCTGTAGAGCACTGTTGATCCAAACAGGAGATCTGTTAGGAAAATAATTTTCCCATTCACAGGTACGCCAGGATGACTGCATTTTTTCCCTGGGGGAGAAAAAAACCCTCATTTTAGGCTTCTGTCTGTCTATACCATGGTACAACAGATACAACTATGACTCCAGTAACCTGTCCACATTTCCACTTATCCCCAAACGGGTTTTGAATAGCATAAAGTTACATGGCTTTACTAGTCACATACTATTTGAATACCAGAATAACACTAAGGTTTTTGCAGCATGGACAGAACCTAGTACTTATTCCTTCTTGAACAACAGACACCAAATCAAGGAGCTATTCACTTTTACAGAACTCTAGTGCTTCTGACCACACTCCGCTCTCAAGGCATGTAATAGTAGGTGACATTCCTGGGTGTTTAGTGTATCCAGGTCGGCAAGTGTATTGCACAGTCTTCCCAACAGAAAAATCAATCTCATTTTTATGCTCCTCGTTTAGCTCAGCAAAGTGTAACCTTGTAGGAGCACCACAACCACCTATTGAGAAAGAAAACAAGCATGAGAATCAGGCAGGACAGGCATGCCAGGTGCAAGCACAGGAAGAACACTGTTACGAGGAAGGGTGTTTGGTTTGCCTTGCAAATTTGTTTATTTTGATTAATATAGCCATTATTAAACAAACACAACATGTTTTACCAAAGGATTCCAGAAGACCAGGTTCTTATTCCCAGGACATAGATAAATCTTCTGCCACAGGGTTTAACCACATTTTTTTAACGGGGTTAGGGGACGTAAAATAGTAGTGTACCCCAAGGCAGCTATGTCATGATTTACCTGGAAATCCAGGCCTCTTTGAGAACTCCTGGTAATGGTACAGTCTATTGCAGACGGGAACAGGAGGGTGCCAGCTGCCATCCTCCTGGCAGAAGATTTTAGGACTGCCTTGCAGGCTGTAACCAGTGTGACACTGAAATGTCACCATTTGTCCAGGTGCGGAGATAAGTCCTTGACCACCAACTTGCCATCCATTGTCTATATCTGGATTTACGCAGACAGTCACTGGAAATGATGATGTACAGAAGTGATGTGCAAAAGGAGTCGGAACAAAACAAAACAAAAAACCCACAGCCTGTTAATATTGCAACAACAAAATCAACATAACATCTACATAAACCTCCCCAGCCCCACCTTCACAATAGAAGGGCTTGAAATTAATTTATACCATGCAACCCTTTACATGGGATTAGTCTTCTCTGAGGATCTGGTTGCAACCGTCAGGGTGTCCCCTGTGCTCAGAGCCACACTAGGAGCTTCTCACCCGAGGGGACAGACCACAGACGCACCTTCACAGCGAGGGATGGGCTGGCTCCATCTCCCTGATGCTTTGCAAAACACAACGGCATTTCCAACCAGGTAGTAGCCGGGATCGCAGGTGTACGTTACAGATGTTCCCATGGTAAAAAATGCCTTGCCTTGGCCGTTGTGATTTCCATTGGTGATCTCTGGAGGCATGGGACATGGTTGGACTGCAAGAGGGAGACAAAAAGTCTTAACTCAGCAAGAGAACAGGGTGCAAGGGGAAGGGAGTCAGCATGATGCTGTGTTGATGGGTTAAAGCCCATCGCAGGAATGGCTCTGCCTGCACACGCTGTTCCTGCCTGCAAGGAGCACCCGGCCAGGCAGGGCTACCCTTGGGGAAGCAGTGGGCACCCGCACTCACCCTTCTCACAGGTGAGCACCGGTGGATCCCAGATCCCCCCTGGCTGGCACTGAGTCTCGTAGGTGTCCTCTGCGGCGTAACCGGCGTCGCAGTCAAAGTGCAGAGTCTGTCCAGCTTTGTAGGTGCTCTGCAGCCCATGGACCTTCCCGTTCTGCACCTTGGGTATCTCACAGCCAATTGCTGCAGGGAGCGTGGACAGCATCCTTTACACTTCAATGCATGGGCCAGATCCTGCACACGCAGCCCCCTCCCTTCTCCTCACTGCTGTAAACATGTCTGCACTGTTCCTACAACCAGAGTACGCAGCATCCTTTCTGCCAGCCCCTCACCAAGCAGTGAAGCATCCACGCACCTTCACAGCGGGGCAGGGGTCTGCTCCACACCCCGGTCTCCGTGCAGTTGATGGACACATTCCCCACCAGCACGTAGCCATCCTTGCAGCTGTAGTACACAGTCACTCCCACAGAAAACTTGGTCAAGGACTGTCCGCTGTGCAGCCCGTTAGCAATGTTTGGTACCCGAGGACATGTCACCTCTGGAGAGGGAAAAGAAATTGCCCTGTCGGTCAGCTGTTTGCCCTTTTGCATGCTACTAGGACTGTTTGTGTAATATCAGGGTAACATCTGGAATTCTGCTCAGTCTTTGTTCCAAAGTATTAGTTAACAAAAAGTACAAGAGCACTAGATAACAATCGCATTGCAGCCAGAGGAAGTTATTACTAATAACGAGAGTCCCATCAGGAGAACTCACAGGCACATCATGGGATTTGGCAGAAGATGCACATTGACGTGGAAGCTGCAAGAGCAGCAAGAATTTATGATTACTTCCTGATCCAGGAGGAAGATGAAGACATCCCACACCTGACCAGAAGCAAAGTCACAGAAATCCCCCAGGAGCAGCAGATAGTGTCATCCCTGCGGCTGGCCTACGGCTCCTGATTGTGCCGGGGCGGTTACAGCCTCCTGCTACACTGGAGCTCAGCCCCAGGGTTAACTTCACCCCATCCCTCTCAGAGCTCAAGACAGGGCAGGCTGCAGCCGTCCCCATGTCCCACCCCAACTCATTTCTTCTGAGCCGTTTCTGTCTCTCTGAGAGCCAAGCTGGCAGCACTTGCATTTGAGAAGAGAAGCAAGGAGGACAGATGCATCCCAGCTTTGCTTTCCCACCAAATTTGAGAGGATGCAAGAGGGAGCTTTCCCCCATGGCTATCACCGCACGCTGGGACACTTGCCCTTTTTGCACACTGGCAGAGGTGGGTTCCATCTGAAGTCAGCTTGGCACGTGCTTGTGCGGGAGCCCTGCAAGGTGTACCCTGTGTTGCACACGAAGCTTATGGTGTCCCCGATCCTGTAGATATACTGAGCAGCGGATACTCTCTTCCCATGCTGGATACGTGGGAACCGGCATTGGGTAGCTGGAAAAGAGAGAGAAATAAAACATTGTTTACCTACAGAGCTCTCAAGCTGTTCCTGCCTGCGATGGTTGCTGTGTTGATGGCGTCCACGCAGCGGTGGAGGCTGCAGCAGGTGCCCCTGGGGCTGCAGGACTCCCTCCTGCGCTGCTGGGGGACCCCGCTGCTTCCTCAACTGGCGAGAACTGGGTGTCCAGAATTTCATGTCAATCACCTGGTGAGGTCAAGAAGCCTTTCACGGCCTTCTTGCATGCTTCTAACCCACGGGCTGGGAAGCACATCCCCTGGGTTCAATCTGACCCGGGGAAACATTGACAGGACCGTCCAGGATCAACCTGAGTGCAGTCCAGGGGTCTGTACTACCAGGGGCCTTGCGAGAGAGCTGGGCAGAGGGTGCACAGTGTGGGCTGAGGTTGCCACACCACGCTGCCCACAGGACCACCGTGACGGTGCAGGAATGGACCCGCGCCAGTGAGGGCGAAGCCTCTGCTGCCCCTTACAGCACCCACCCATGAATGTGCTGGTGGGCTTCCAGGGGTACCTGGGGGTTATTTGCATTGAACCGCTGGAGAGAGAGATGGAAAGGCAGGCATGCAGAGAGGCGGGCAGGCAGGCAGACATTCAGAACCAAAACCACAGGGAAGTAGCTTTTTGTTCACTAGGCAAATATTTGATGTGGGAATGTAGAAAGAAGGTAAAAGAAACACCTCTCGTTGGTAATATCCTTTGGGTTACTGAGTAAAGGGTCACAGCAGCTAGCTAAGGCAGGAGGGTCAGCCTTTGGTCTCTCAAGATACCAGTGAATAATTAACATGATTGAGGATATAGGTAGAAGTATTCTCCATACAGTACCAAAACACTTCTCAAACCTTGCCAGGGCAGCCAGCTCGCAGCACCTACGCTTACAAGACAGGAAGGAGTAAACAAAACCATACTGCAGTGATGGAGCTGAGTTTCTGTAGGCTTTGGCTATCCTGTCCCAAACAAGAGGGCACCTTGGGCTACCTGTCAGGCTTTCGTCCCCTGCAGGCTTTCAGACCGAACATGCCGAACAGCACAGTCTTGTTTGCCTTTTTACCCTCCTGCCTCATCCGAACGCATTTCTGTTTATCACAGCAAGTTTCAACTTGCCAGAGCTCAAACACAATCTATAATTACAACAAGCTCCTCGTCTGACTGCTGTAAGATGTTGTATCCATAACCAGCTTTACTTCAGCAGTTTAAACACATAGGTCAAGCCTCTTGTTACGAGAAGCTGGGCAGGTTGTGAAAGACTCCCCATAGCCTCCCACGGCGAGGTTGTAACTCCTTTTCCCGCTGAAAGGCACAAGGTGGCCCCGGTGCTATCCCAGAGGGTCTTTTTCATTAGCAGAGGAGCTCAGAGGCTCTCTCATGCTCATGATCTGGCATGCCGAGGTCCACCTGGGACCAGCACAGGGCTCCTATCTGCCTCCACAGGGAAAAGCAAAAGGATCAGCGAGAAGAGCAGCGATGAGGAAGAGGAAGGCCACGGGACGAAGGCCCCAGAGCCGCAGACCTGCCGGTCTCCCTTACCTCGAGCCGCAGCTGCAGTGGCCAGGAGCAAAGCGGAGCTGCCGAGGAGGCGGAGGGCGAAGGCGAGCACCATGCTCCGGTCCCCAGCGCAGACTGCGGCTCCTGGGGACCTGCAGGAAGATATGGGCACCCCAGTTCCCTCCGCCACCCCCCGCATGCGGAAGGAGCCGCAGCTGCGGGGCTTCCCGTGGCCGCGGGACAGGAACCCGTGGGCTCCCCTGCGCAAGGTGGGCACAGCCACCATCCCCGGAGAGGCTGCAGGTCCCACACGCTGCTTCTGCTGCTATTTTTGGCAGGGGAGGATGGACCCCTGGGACCCATGGGCATCTGTGAAAGAGAGGTGCAGGCACAGAGGTGCTGTTAGCCAAATTGTGCCCTCCCTGGAGAGCATCCTTGGTTAGGGGAAGCAGCCCAGGCTCTGGCGGTGATGGCAGCCCTTCCCACGAACCAGCCGAAGGGGTACAGCCTGCCCTCCTGGCCATTCCCTCCTCCCCCATGCATGGGACCAGTGGCCGCTGGGGACACGTCTGTCCCTCGGGGCCATGGGTGCTTGACCGGGATGCGCAGCCCCCGGCCCAGCCCCGCATACTGCCCTGCAGCTGTGGACCCGAATCCTCCTGAGCCGACCCTGGCTGCTCCAAGACTTATCCATGCTGGCGTCATCCCTCGCCGCTGGCTGGAAGAATAAAAATCCAGACAGGACTTTTTGATGTAGGAGCAGCTGCAGCAACCTCCAGCTCCCCACCTCACATAGCGGAGGATGCTTTCTGAGCCTAAAACAAGCAGCAAGACGCGCGTTACTCAAGTCTTTTTATCCCTTTTATTGACAAAGAGCTTCCAATATTTACATATCCAACATTTATTCTTCAGAATTGCACTTGCTTAGTTGCACTCAGATTATAAAGCAAAATTACGTACAACTCAATTACAAACACAGTAGATAAGCCTTTTTCAACACCTGTAAGCTATGTCACAGCATTCACAGTTCCTTCCATTTGGTTGCAGGGAGATCATTTCAAGCTGACCCCCAAATCATGTGTTAAATCATTTGGAAAAACCACTCTGGATTATGCAGTAGGAACAATTGTGCTGGAATTTAAATAACAGAACAGAACATGACACTAAGCTATGAGGCTTTACATTGGTGTTTTGTTCATCTAGTCACTCACATGGCTTACAGTAAGAGATACATAAAAATAACCGGCAATCTGCAAGTGCTTGCTCTGCAAGACTGGCTTCCGAAAACAGTATCTCATGGTACCCCAGTGACAGCTGAACAGGACAGTGCTCTGCTGGGAAGGGAGAACTTTGTGGGTCTATCTGGAAGAAGACTAACATGTTGACGGAAATGGCTATGTGTGTTTTTCCCTCTAATTAGATGCATGTTCCTGTTAACAGGAAAGCACTGATGAAAATGCAGAAACAAAAAGTATGCGATAGGCACATTTCAAATACTTCCCATTCCCAACTGTGCATCATGAGAAACTCACAGACAGGTGATGTACCTCTGCATCAGACAAAACCCCAAACCTCAAAACCTTGCTTTACCAACAGCTAGAAGTCCTAGTGTCTCAAGCTGGATTCAGGCTTAACAAGTCTAAATCCCATCACAGTTTTGCTTCCCTTATAAACAGGATTCCCAGGAAACCTTCAAATTGTTACTTCATTTTATGAGATGCTACTTACCTCTTTAACTTATTAGGTGATCATTTAGCAAGGCTCAGTTAAAACTGGAAAAGGACACCAACATCACAACGTGGGCTTTCTGTCAGCCAAACAAATCGAGGGCACTTTTGCCCGTGTCTTTGGTTTAGACAAGGTGAGTGAGGTCCCGTCATCTGAGCTGTCCTCGTGGCACTGCCAAAGCCTGACTCGAGCTGGGGACAGCACGCTCCCTCCCTCACCTCTATCCGCCCTCAACACAACCATCAACCAGGTGAGGTTAGACAGGATGAAAACAAAGGGCACAAAACACGCGGGGTTTTGTGTCCCGTTCCCCACGGAGGAGTAAATTAAGGCTTTGGCTTGATGAGTACCTGCGCCTACTTTGGGTGCAGCGTCGGAGCAACAGTCGCCCTGTGCAGCTGCCTACCAGCCCTGCTGCGAGCGGAGCAAGAGGCCAAAACCCTGCTCTTCCTCCCCAGCATCACAGCAGCCCCGAGGTGCCCTGGGGCTGAGCTGGCACCCAGCCAACCCACGGTGGGAGCCAGCATGGTCGGGGCGCACAGCACCACCTGAAAAAGCCTTTAAAGTGCAAGTTCAGACAGCGATTCCCTGCATCGGAGTCAACCCAGGCAGGTGGCATTTGAGCAGAAAGTGAAAAGGTTCACACGCAGCAGCTTCCTGATGTTTGGTGGCATCTGCCAAGACACCTGCAAATTCTGCATTTGGCCCGGACACCACCTGCCTGCGGATGAGCTCCACTGCCCCCGAGCACCCATCCGGCACGGTTCCTCACGGGGCTTTCAGCCCACCGAAAGCTTCAGCACTTCAAAAGAAGCGTTAAGTCACCACAGAGACAGGAAGGGTGTTTCCACCAGCTACTTGCAGAAAAGCCTTGATGGGACACAAAGATAGCGCCAGGGCAGAGACCTTCAGCTGAAGTTTAAAACTAATTTTAGTCCATACGGGAAGAGTCAGAATAGTAGTTCTTTGTAATAAGGCATTTAAATTTTTTTCTGTCTGGTAAAATTACTGATCTGTAAGGATTGCTACTTGCAGAATGATTCAGACTTGCCTTGAAGTAATGGCTACAGCTGCGCTTTTATATGAACATTTTCAATGCTTTCAGTACTCACAGATAATACCCAACTTAATCTTCCTATTTGTATCAAACAATTTCTTTAAGTATGTATCACTCACATGAAGACATTCACCATTAATCCTCTTGGCAGCGCTTTCCACCTCAGGTTGCTTAAGAAACCCCTAAATCCTGGTCAGGACCAGGCACAACATGCCCTCAGTGGGGCTGAGACACTGAACATGCGGAGTTACCCAAAGCGCAGGATTTTCTTGAGCCTACTCTATTGCAGCGTGAAGCTCTTTGGCATCACTGTGACTTAACACGGGGATAACTGCACTTGATTTCTGAGGAGCATTCTCAGCTGGGCAGCGGAGAGCCTCCCATCCCATCCATCCCATCCCAGTCCCGCGCAGGAGCTGCTGGGTCCAACGCGAGGTGCAGCTGCACCCAAAAGTGCGAGTGCTTGCCGGGCAGCGGCAGAGAGCGTCTGGGCTTTGTCATCCCAGGTCTGTCGGTTGCTGCTTCAAGGCCAATTTCACAGGAAGGAAAAGCAAAGCACTAGGATCAGCGTGATCAAGTCCGACACGTCTACAGGTGCCTTCCCACCGTGCCCCTTCCCTATCTAGACGTTCATAACGAGAATTGCCAGGAGGAGGGGGAAGATTCCTACAAGAGACAAATAAGAAGCTTCAGTCTTCACTCCAAACATATTCAACTGTCTTTTCCCTCCCTGGTCCCCTTTGCCTTCCCCCACCTTTTCACAGCATGATCTTAAAGCAACAACAATATAAACAGGACAACAGCCTGGAGCAGAAGGCTTTTAAGCCTACTTCACGCCGAACACACAGGAGACAATCACACAAAGATAGGCAAGAGTGCAGTACAGGAATACGTATTACTTACCAACAATGATCATGTTCGCTCCACCTGGAAAGGAAGCGAGCCAAAATGTGAAACTCAGCACCCATTCAGCACAGTAATTCACCAGACTACACGACATGCAGTATCTCAAATCAGAGCTAATGCACGTGGAAGATAATTCAAGCAACACACAGAACTTCAGCCTTGCACAGCCCAGCTCCAGAGACATTTACCTATTAAAACCCAGATGTATTTTCCAGGATACATTTCCACTAGCCTGCGAGTCCATGCTGCAAGGTAATCATGCTCTTTTGGCACAAGATTTTAACTGAAGCTGTTTCAGGAAGCATCGAAGGGTTACTCCTTTAGCAGAATTATCTGATTTGAGGATTCACAGAGGAAGGAAAAAATAGGTATTTTGAAGACAGAGAGGAACCAGCAAGACAGACACAGGAGACAGTTACCTCTGCATTCAGGATCAGGCTTGCTCCAGACTCCCTGGTATTGATCTCCTGCAATACACTGAAGCAAGGCCGCTCCAGCAAGGGTGTAGCCATCATTGCATTTATAAGCTACAGTGGAGCCGTGGACAAAGTCCATGTCCTTTGTGCCATTGTGCATCCCATTGTCAATGGTAGGTGGCTTTCCACAGAAAATGTGAGGGAACTGTTCCACAGGAGGAACATCACCTTTGCATTCAGGAGTAGGCTCGCTCCAGACTCCATGGTATTGATGACCTGCTTTGCAGTGAATAGAGGCTGCTCCAGCAAGGGTGAAGCCATCCTTGCATTTATAAACTACAACGGAGCCGTAGACAAATTCTGTGCCCTTTGTGCCATTGTGCATCCCATTGTCAATCGTGGGGGGGTCTTTGCAGAGAATGCGTGGGAGCTGACCTACAGGAGGAACATCAGCAAGAGTGTCTGAGTGCTCCTCCTAACTGAAAAGGTGAAGAGGTATATGGGGAGAAGGAGACATAGCCAAACACCATGCATCTAGCAGCAACTGAAAATACTTTGAGCTTTCTTGTGTGGCACTGGACCTCAGTTACTGCACGTTAGTGCAACACGTACTGCATGTACTGCACAACATAGCCTTCAGGATCTCACCCCATGAAATAAGGCACTGAAGTGCCTAATCAGGCTAGAAGAAATGTTTCAGCCATTTCTACCTTCACAGAACACCATACACTGACTTCATAACAGCCAATTTCAGCATTATATTAAATTGAGTGGAGAGAGTTCTAATGTCCAATTATCTTCATCTTTCCCTGGTAACTAGAGAAAGAAAACTTTCCTCCCATGACTGTTTTTTTCTATAATTTCTGCTCTCCCCTTGCTCCTTCCACTTCGTCAGCATAATTTCTGAATTGTACGAGAATATTACACCTCAGGCCTCACAGCATGAGTTAGGATTGAAATCCTGAATTTTACAGCTGACTGAATTAAGAAAGCACAAGTAAGAGCAGCCCAAGGCCATCAGCAAGGCAGCTACACCAGTGCATTTCCAACTATTATCTTAATGGCTCTGTGCAGGGTTTTTCCCTCTTACTTTCACAGTATGGAGGTGCTGTGTTCCAATCAACTCCATTTCCTGATACCACACATTTGGCAGACGAGGACCCCTTTAATTCATACCTAAAGAAAGAGAAGAAGTTTAGTACTTTCCAGACTTTCCAGAAGACAACCCAGAAAGGGTCCTTGCCCCACCTCCCCACCACTGCATGCAGTCGAGTTATTAACCAGAAGTTGCCCTGCTATGAAACAGGATCTGGCCACATCAAAGCCACTAAATAAGGGCACTAATGAAAGCCAAACTGAAGCAGTTCTCTGCGTTACCAAGCACATGTGTGTTGCCACCTGCTTATCTCACTGAAGATATAATATATGGTTTCACTGGAGACTTGCACTGGGAAACTGGGGTGGGGTGGGGGGTGGATGTTACTGCCTGGGATCCCTGTCTTGTGACCCCCGAGTTGGTCCCTTTTAAGCAGTGATCCACTCACCCAGGATGACAGGTGAATGTCACAACTGACTCAAAAAGGAAACTGCTTGCAGTCACATCCCCATTCTCTATCGTGGGAGGAGTACATTGCTGTCCTAGAGGAAGAGAAAACAGCACAGGGATGACTTCAAACCCGGAGATGGGCATGACCCAAATTTCAGAATAACATCTCAAGCATGTACAGATGACTCGCACAGTCAGTCAGGACAGGAAAGAAACGGAGATACTCACGTATACAGAAGTCTGGGTCTGTAGACCAAGTTGCATCACTCAGACAAGTGACAAGAGAGGACTTTCCACTTGCTGCAGCATAACCCGGTTTACACTGATACCTCAGCTTGGTTCCAACAGGGGACCTGTCACCCACAGCCGTTGTTAACTCAGCGAAAAGGAAGTGTGGAGCAGGACCACAGTAGACTAACGATTGGAGACAAAAGCAAGGTTAGTTACAGAAGAGCACCCAAAAGGTCTGCAATAACGATAGCAAACTGCATGTTCTGGAGCACACAGCATTTTAACCTGTTTGAATATCAGCTTCTGCAATACAGTTTGCATACAACCCATTTAGCAAACAGCAGCATATATCACAGTTTGCTTAACCAGAGAAAAGATGGAGACTGGGTAGCATCTCTGTCTCAAGAGATGCGCCTTCATTGACCACCAACCCAACCTGTAGGACCTCGATTCAGCTGAGCTCAGAAGCCAAACATGCCCAACAGGTCTGGAAGCTGGTGGAGCTAGCCTGTCAGGTATCTCTCCTTTCAGTGCTTTTTTGGATCATTTGCTCTTCATAAATAAATAGCTTCAGGTCTAAATATATAACTGGCCTGGGCTGCCACGCTGAGGACGCAAGCTGGCATGCTCTGCAAGGGCATGGCTACAAGTGCACAAGGTTCAGAAGCTGATCTGCTCAACAGCTCTTAGACCTACTTCATCGCAATTGCTCAAGGAAATAAACTTGTTTGTACTCACTTGGGTCACATGTTGGCAGAGGTGGCTTCCAGGTACTGTCTGCTTCACAAGTAACTACACTACTACCATTCAATAAATGACCAGGATTACACTCAAAGGTCACCGTATTTTTATACGTGTGTGCAGTGCCAAAGCCAGATAACCTTCTCCCGTTTTCCACTTCTGGATTTTTACATGCGACCACTGGAAGTGAAGATAAGACAATAAGAATATTTATTACAAGAAGGAAAAGCCCTGCGGATGCATTACGCGAGAAGCTTACTAAGAGAGCTGCCGTCCTTTCACTTTGAGAGAGGAAGGTCCCTAGTGGGGTGCAAGTACTCTGTGAACAGAGATGTCATTAAGAAACTGCACACGTGACAGCTTCATTTTGCATTTGCAGGAAGCCCTGGACATGGGCAGGGAAAGGGAGGCTTTCTGTGGGCTGAAGAATCCATTAAACCAAGCCCTGTCTCTGACCACGACTTGGGAGACCACTGCGTTTAGCTTTCTGGGAATCCTTTTAGACTCAAATCAACATTCTCATGATTGGCAGCCCATTGGGAAAGTACGGATCTGGAGAAGGATAAGAAACAAAGTCAAAAGAATAAGCAGACAAAGAAAGCGTTTACCTTTGCATTCAGGGGCTGGACCGCTCCATATTCCCTGGAGGTTATCATTCACCGTACAGTGAATCGTGGCATCTCCAATAAGAGAAAAACTGTTGTTACACCTGTAGGTTACAGCCATGCCAAAGGTGAAATCTGTGTTCTCATTGATGAGCTGCCCATTCTTGATCACAGGAGGTGGTAAACAGGAAATAGCTGCATGGGAAAGCAACAGCAAGAAAACACAAAAACATTTCCATCAAATATAAAACTGAGGTCTAGCTACTTAAAAAAAACAAACCAAACCAAAAAAACCAACCCAAACAAACAAACAAAAAAAAATTGAAGAAAAAACAGGGAAGCAGCCCTAAAGCAATCATCTCAACCTAAAGTCTTGAATGCGCCTTTAAATTCTGAATGTTTTCCAGGTTTTTTTTTAAATGGATAAATGGTAAAACGGCAAAACAGCATCTGTTGTCCAAGAGGAGACACTACAGAAGAGGCCTTCTGGAGGCAATAAACATGGTCTCACCAAGCAGTTTGGGACCCTCACCTACTGTTGATGGCATTTCCTACCTTCGTTGTGGTAACAAGAATAAGGCCAGAATACCTATTATAGCAGCAAACCACCTAAGCTATCAGCAGCTGATGGTCAGGCCCATCCCACAGGATGCTAAAAAGGTCCAAATAGCACCACCAAAACTCTTGGCATTTATCTCCCCTTTGAAATTTGAGATTTTTGATGTCCAGTCATGTCTGAAGGCTTCCCACTCCCGGTCAAGCACAGCTCTTGATCCACAATTCAGCAACAGTTGCCTGACAGAAAACACAACAGGAGTGATGCAGCGTCCGCACCAGCTTGGCAGAAAGCTTGCTGTGCTGAGTGCCTGTGCTGGGCAATACCAACAAACAGCCCTGGGAGCTGCTTTTCTCACAGATCTGACTACAAAGCTGCTGCCAACATCCACAGATCCCCCTTAGTATTTAATTTTCATTCCCAGCTCCACCGAGAGTGTTTGTCTGGAGGAAGGGTAAGCAGTCAGTCTCATTAAAGGCTAATGTAATTTGCATTAGGTGCCAAAAAGACAGTATCCACCTGGCATTCCCCAAACTAACAGATATATAGTGATACAATCTTTTTTAGGAAGAGATGTACACAAAACATTTAAGATCTGCTTACGGTCACAGTATGGAACATGATCCCAAGAAACTTCATTGCCTTTAAGTACACATTGCGCAGATGGCTTCCCAACTAAGCGGTACCTAAGAAAAGAAAAGGTTGAGTCTCTGAAAAAAGTGAAGAAAACTTGGGAAATTCAGAAAGTTGTACAGTTTCTAATGGTATTCTCTGGAGGAGCTGAACCCCAGGGGAAAAACAGCTAGCCCTCCTATAAAATACAATTTTCTCAATACCTAAAGAAATGCAATATATGACGCGGCTAAAGGAAACTTAATACTTGCAGTGGGTGGATACAAGCTGACAGGACCACGGGCAAGACAGCATCCCTACCCTGAGTCTGTTCAGGCCCGTGCTGTGCAGTGGTAGATCCAAACAGCAACTTATTTTCTGAGCAGAGCTAGGTGTCACTGACGTACCTGAACCGCTCTCTTTCCCTCTCGCCCTGCTGCCAGCATCCCCAGGACACCGCAGCCCTCTTTTCCTGAGACCCCTTAGCTAAGACGTGGACAGCCGGACCCATTGCACTATGGCAAACGCTGAATTACTAATGAGCGCCAACAGGAAAGAAACAAAATTCTTTTCAAAGCAACCGAAAAGCAGTCTGCAAAGACCACTTTCTCATGCCCGGAAGAGAATGTTTTGACAGCAAGAGCAGGAGAGAGCCTGACTCCCACAGCTCCCCGCTCCGAACATCTCCCGCCGTGCCTGTGCTTGCCAAGACAACAGCCCCCAGCTATTAAAAGCCTCCGAGTCTCCCACGGGTGCTGTCTCCCAGCCTCGGCTCCGTCGACTCACCAGGAGCCTGGCTCAACGCTTACCCAGCGTTACAGGTGTAGGTTATTGTCACCCCAAACTGGAGGTTGGTCATGTAGTCAAAGTTGCCATTCATGATATCCGGTGGACTGCAAGACTTCCCTGGAAGGGCAAGTGATCGGCATTAGCTTTATTTTATAGCAGGATCGTCAAATGCAGGTGACAGTGCTGTTCAGTGTCATTACAGACTAATTGACCACTTATTGGGCACCTGACTTCCCTCATGAGCAAGTACCAGCAATTTCAGAAAAGATAAAAGATCCACATCAAATTCTGTGGAACTGAAAGTTAAAACACAAATAAAAAGGAAATAAGAGCACAAATAGAGCTAAGGACAAATAACAAAAGCCAAGGTTTATACGCTTACTGAGAAAGGCAACTCATAAAGACCCCAGTGGGCTCGGGGCAGGTGTCTTGGTCCATAGGAAAGGAAACAGCGAGAAGGAGAAGGGGACGGGGAGGGACCCACTGACCTCCCTAGGGCCAGTACAGGTGCATTACCATGGGGACAACAGGCTCCCACAGCCTTTTCCACACCGTACATTGCTTCTGTGCGGATGTATTATAGCATTTACACTACATCACGAGATGGTAAAGTCATTAAAAAGGGCAGAGGTCATCTCCCAGAGATTAGCGTTTCTACGTGGGAAGGGCAACCCCGGGCAGGCACGCAGGGCGCATGCTTGTTCCCCACTGCCCCCAAAACCAGTAACCCGGGGAGCATCCTTCCATCCTTCTCAACTGTGCTGAGCCGCGAGTGGGCTCTGGGGTACAGCAGGGGATGCACCCCCTCCGACCACCCCCCTCCCCTCCGGATCCCAGGAGCCCGCACGAGGCGGGGCGGGGGGGAACCCACCGATGCAGAAGTCGGGGGTCGCCATCCAGGTGGAGTTGGGGAGGCAGATGACCAGGGGGGACTTGCCCCTGGCCACCGTGTACCCCGGTCGACACGTGTATCTCAGCGTGGTCCCCACGGCGTAGGACTCCTGCAGGGGCTGGGGGGGCTCCGCAAAGACAAACCTCGGCGGCTGCTCGCAGTCACCTGCGGGCAGGGGGGAGATGATGGC